CTCTCTCTCATCTAATAATAATCACACGTCCGATACGATTGCGTATTAAAGATGTAACATAAACACAACTCTGTGTTTAGCGGTTTGTCAGAATTAACGAGCGCCAAATCGGATTATTCGCAAGCGTATTATTCCAAAGTGTACATCTTTGCGCGCGTGATACCTCTTCTCCCGCAAATTCGGTATCGCGATTCTTTTCAATCGCGCGAAATTGCACGAACGCGAAGTGAACTTTACATTCAATAGGGCGGACTTAAAACTAAACTTCAAAATGCATGCCGTACTCGCCGTGTACTCGTGCAGGGTAACGGATACGAGCGCGCGTACCGTCACCGCGCGCGTCGTACAGTCGGAAATGCAAGTAATTCAACGAGAATCTACAATGGAATATATACGGTTGTTATCTGCCACTGATTCGGCTCTTGGCGTTTTCTGTAGAAAATCTTTTGTACATATGTAAAAACATTAAAAGACACGAAGCGCCCGCACGCCGATCGGCGTGAGTCGGACGCTCAAACAAAGTCTTCGCGCGTAACCACCAGCTTTTATTATTTTTTTTCTCGGAAATGTATTTCATGTTGCTTCTCGACGCGATTAAAAGCCGGCCTTTCGCCTCCTTATCCGATTATCGTTACGAAGTAATAAAATATTCGGCCGAACGTCCAGATATATATTCATGAGCGACAATTTCAAGGATTTCTGTAACAACAGCGTGTGCGTAGTGGGCTTCTGAAACAGTTCCGCCGTCGGGATGCGATCACGCGGTCAATCGCTCTTTGACTTTCCGGCGGTCTCGCTTTGATCCGCTTTCTTCTCCGTGTCGTTCTCCGATTTCGCCTCGGTCTCCTGCTGGCTACCCTCCTCTTCCTCGTCGGAGTAGTTTGTCGGTGCTTCGCCAGGCTTCAACAATTTTCCGACGTAATCGTATCTCTCTGCAATAGGAGGAAAAAAAGACAAAACGTATTTAGATATCTTCGATCGCTTTTTAAAATAATTCAGCCACGTGTCTCAATATTTATCTCAATATTTATCAAGTTTCCATATCATATTCATAGGCTAAGACCGATGTGTGTGATAAAAAAAAGCCTTGAACCATGCTCTCCTGCATTATTCATGAGACTGAAAGCTTCTGTGTATTAGCTTAGTGTTAGAAATAGAACTTGCCATTTCATACAGGCGAAGAATATCATTAGGAAGAACATTGTGTTTATGTAAAATTGGAAAAAAAAAAAACATTCGTCTCGTCTGTACCTTATCAATAAGACTTTACGCCACTAGATCTTTTTACTATAATGCCCTACGCGGATAACATCTTCAAAATAAACTACAAATGTGTATTAACTCAAGATAAGATCGAGTCTGAAAGAAAACGTTCCACTAATGAGTATCAAACTCGAGATAAGATCGACCTCTGTAACAATTTCTTATATAAATTACGTAGATACATTAGCGTGGCGTCGCGAAGCAGCTCGCTTTGATAATTTTCCCTTCTCGCTGTCGGCAGCCACCATCATCGGCCGCTCGAAATGCGCTCACCTTTGAATTGCTCTTCCCACTCCTTGATGGAATTCATTTCCGTGGTGTTCAGGTCGCTCAGATCGTCGTACTTGTCCGTCGCGGCGTCCACCGCGAACCTCGCGAGTGCCCTACTGGCATCTTTGCCGCCGAACGCTTCATAGGGTCCACCTGTGCAACAGGTATAACAATAATGAGATTTTCGAAGGTCACACATTTGGGCGCTTCCTGTGATCCGGCCCTTTACCTTATTCCTACTAGAAATCATCGACGATGCAAAGCATTGTAAAGCAAGAGAGAAAATTCGAGCCGCTAATCGTCACTTATCTATTCGCAATTTTATCGCTACCTCCACTCTCGGCCGCCGGGCTTATCCGATTCCGAAGACAATACGGATTGGAATTCTCGAGTCTCGCCGCGGCCTGTACATATCCGGCCGTTTCTCTACATATTTAGCCAGACCTTTTCGCCCGCGACGCACGTCACGGAACGTGATAAACCGCTATCGCCGGGCCGGGTATATCGCGGCGCAATTGAACGAGGCACAATTGCTCGCGTGACGAGATCGGCGGGGACTTTCGCGATTTTATTTTTACGCGCCGCGGTAGCATGATATCATCGCGGGCACTCCTTGCCGCGGGGCCGCAAGCTAATAAAAAAAGGCGACTAATGAAACGCGCGGCCGTCGGGAGAGAGAGAGAGACGGAATGAAAAAATCTCGACGGGGAGGAGGAAAGAGGGGGGGCGGAGGAGACGGAGGACCAAATCATCACGAGCCGGGGAAAATGGTTCGATCGCTAATACCCGCGACGGAGAGATCGGCGCGGACGAGGGAGAATTGATCGCCGATGACGACGCGCGCGCGGGGGAGATTGGCGCGGGGGGGGGGGGGGGGGACGGGCGGTCCCCCGGCGCTCCGGACTCACCAGGGCCGTAGAACTTGGCGCCTCTGGTGACGTCGTAGACGCTGCCGTTGACACCGACCAGTATCCGGCCGTCCGGGCCCTTGCCGTCGTACTTTTTCAGATCCTCGACCGCGAAGTCGCGGCGCAGCTTCGGCAGCTTCTTCACCTCCTGCACGGGCTCCTCGGGCCGCGTGCGGCTCTTGACGATCTTGTAGACCAGGATGGCGATCACGCCCACGAGGGCGAGGTTCACCGGGCTCTTGACGATCTCGCCGATGAAGCTCGACAGGAACTGCGACGACTGCTGCGGTTGCTGTTGCTGCTGTTGTTCCTGAGCCGCGGCCGGCGAGCCGCTCTTCTCGGCCATCTTGACCAAAACCCGAACCGACCTATCTGTCTACCCGGCGGGCGAGGAGTGTCGCCCGGTGTCTCGCTGTCGCCGAGGAAGACCGAAAGACGAGAGGTTACGGACGCGCCGGGAGAGAGGAGAAACCGAAACGGCGTGCGCGGCTCCCGAATTCTCGTCACGATGTGCGTCTGTGCGTGCGCTGCGGGCGGCCGGGCGCGCACGTATATGACGCCGTTATGCGTGGCGCGTGTCTGACGACGCGTGTACGAGTCCGCCGGAGTCGTACGACTTTGGTCGGATTTGGATTGGATCCGAGATCCGCGGCGGAGAAGCGAGAACTCGCGCGCGCGCGCGCGGGAGAGGGTGGGTAAAAACGGAGCCGATCGTCGGAAGCCGCGGACTGATATCGCCGACTAGGCGCCGCTCGCCGATGACGACTCAACACTCAACGCGACGCGCGCTACGCTACGATTAATCGCCACCAACGACGCGCGTACCGGTGCGCGTGTAAACGAGGCAAACGAGCAACGTAGCGACGTGGTCCCCGCCGCCCCGTGCCCCGTAGTCCACCCTGCTGTGCTCCCCTCCTTTCCTTTCCCGCCACCCGCGTGTATGTGTGTACATACGCGCGTCGCGCGGCGCAGAAGCCGGAGAGACGAGACGGAGGAGAGACGGAGATTTGAGCCACGTTCTACGTGGCCGCACCGCGGTGGTGCGTCGCAGGGCCGTATGTACGTCGGTCCCGAAGACTGACGAGGGCGGGAGAGGGGGCACGGAAATCATTTTCCGAAAAAGTATGCGCGGCCCCCCTTGTTTCTCTCGAGACTACGCATTCCATCAAAATTGAAGTCTTATTCCCGTCGCGACGACGATTGCGTTGCGTTAATGAGGATGTATTTAGGCAAAAAAATCGAGACTTTGCATCCTCGCGTGATCGTCGGCGTAACCGGTGTCAATATGTACAACGTAAGCTATAACGTAGCTTGCGGCATAGAATTCAATGACGGGGCTACTCCAGAGCCTTTCGGGCGTCGTCGTCGGTGCCGCGACATTTTTGCCGCCCTGCTCGTCCTCTCTATTTTGACATTTCACATTTCGCCGATCATCCGACGTCCGTTATATCAACATACGAAACATATATTCGCAGTCGTACTCATTTGCTCTTCTGCAATAAGTTAGAATGTACCGTTTTCGCTTCCTCTCTCTCTCTCTGCCTGTCGTGCGAAAAACAGTTAAGTATGTCGCGAGAGGAAAAAGAAAGATTACGAGCCACGCCGCCCGGAAGAGATTATCGTCCTCCCCGTTTAAGATTCACCGGAATCTCCGTAACAGAATAGGAAAATATCGCCTCTCAATATCGCGAAATGTCCAGCCTCGGATTCCCCGGCGATTGGCGAAAGGAAAAAAACCTACAGTCATGGGCGTCGATTCTTCAAAGTCATGCTACGCAAAGTCACGTGTTTCAGATGCGCGTATCGCGTACGAGCGCCCCGCCGCAATTATGACGGTCACGGGACCGAGCGGAGCGTACGCTGTTATGATTACGATAGGATCCTCGTTACTCTTTACCCTTTCCTTTCTCACACCTTACGTAACGCGAGACGCGACTTCGTCCCGTTCCAAGGCTCCGCTTCTAGAATTTTTTTGCAGATCATTGACGCTGTAATTATTAATCTCCTTCGATTCAAGAGACTTGGTTTTTCTTTATTGCCGCACTCATTTCCCTTCTCGCTGAATTTCCAACATATGTTCAAACACATATATTTGTTTCACTTTAGATACAGCGAGCGCGTAAGAAGAATTCAGTTCGTTCTTTGCAGCTGAATTCCTTCCTCCTTTCCCTCCAACGTGTCCCGTTTCAAGTGCGAAAAACAATGCAGCTGCAGAAAATAGACTTATTGGATGTATACCGTGTATCAGTCATTTTTTATTTCACATATATGGCAATCTACATGAAAACGCAGCTCGGTGTAGCAAACGACACACCGAGTCTTTTATACATATAATCTATATTTGTATATCTATCTATATATAATTAATATAATCTACTTGTACTTGGATAAATTGTACTTAAAATGGACGGCACTGTTGTATCGAGAATACTGACGCTTTGTCGCTTCAATCAATCGGAGCGGTCTATTTACTATCGCTATTGTTTGAAGTTGAAGGCACCGCGCTACTTTCCGTCGCGTCTGCCCGAGGCAAACGCGATAATGATAAGGCACCTCTGAATCGTGCAGCACAGATGCAGATGTTTAGAGATAAACATCCTTATCGAGTGCCTAGTTTGCGTGAGCCAAGATATAGTTTTCTCTCGTACATTAAACGAATGTTACTCTACACTGAAATGTGTAAAAAGTTGATTTTACACGTTTAAACTCTCGTTATCTTTTAAGCCTTTATAATCGCCTTTGCCTCCTGATAGTCGAGGTACGGACGGATATCAGTGACGGACGACACGGCCTCGGGATTAACTCTCTCCGAGCACATCGGACAAGATTCTTCAGATTCCACGATTCTAGCGCAACAAATTAAAATTTTATCGCAACAGATAATTTTAAATAATACTCGCGCTTTTCTTGTGATATTTACCTTAAAAATTCACTTCTGATGGCTGGGAAATCACACTGGGGGCACACCGTAAAATCATCCTCCACGATATGTCGTCCCTGTAAGCACGATAGAAACGAGAGAACTCGGTTGGCGCGCTCTTCTCGTTAGTAAGCGATAATTAAGCGGGTCTTACCGTTGCAATGCAAAAAGGTATGGTGTTTTTACACTTATCACAGGTTACTTCAGTCTCGGGAACTCTGCTCTTGCAGTACGGGCACGGGGTAAGGGGCTCATCCTCGTTCTCGATATCCTTCGTTCTCGGTGGTTTCCTAACGATCGCCTCGATCTTCTTGCTGTACTTCGCGTCGACCTGGCCCCGATACTCGGGGCGCATCAGCATAGCGGCGAAATTGAAAGCCGCGTTTTTCAAGCCCGCTCTATGGCATTCTATCACGGTCGACGTTAATATCGGTACGATGTCTGAAACGTAAAACGTACCATTGTACCACGTAAGCCGAGAATTAATTCATTCGCGTTAATCGCCGCGGAGAACGGCTTTCGTCGTACTAACGTGATGGAAATTTCGATATGTTGTTGGCTACTCTTATAAGCATCCGGGCACCACGTAAATGATCGCTTCTCTTCACGTGTAATCTCACCAAGATGTAGGAATGCAGGAGTCTTAAATTGGTCTGCATCTCCAAGGGTATGGTGATCTTATTTCTCTTCAATTCTTGGTACATGCCAAACAGGACGTCGTGAGCGTTTCTGTAGTTTCCTGAAGTTAAATAAGATCCCATATCACTGTAGCGTTATACATTTTTAGTATGGGCATAAATACATACCATTAACTTGCTCCTCGTTTGCAATTATAATCGCCGTTTTAGCCGCTTCTTTGTATTGCTTCCTAGCCATGTACAATCGGAACAGATATTTCGGGTCCTAATAGGGAATACGAACATGTTAGAATCTTTCTTCTTAAGCGTTATTTATATATAAATATAGTAATAACCTTCGGTAATCCATCGCCACCTAATAAGAAATCTATCAATTGATTAGCTAACTTATCATCCTTCGCAGATGCGACAGTATCTATGGCGTAGGTAATCGCTCTATCGTCATCTGGAACCAGTTGCGCAGCTTTCAATAAATGTCGTAGAGCCTAAAAAAAAAGAAGCCCGTGTTAAAACGCCGCTATTATTTGCATGATCAAACTCGAGATTCTGCAAAGATATTGCAAATTCACCTTCTGATATTCCTTAGCGTGGAAATAGTACTTTCCAGCTAAGAGATTATTTTTCTGAGACTCGAAATGCAACGCGAGGCTTCTAAAATCTTCTTTCCGGACATTGGTATCATCGATCGTGTTCACCAAGATTTCCCCGTACAATTCCATTTTGCCGTGTTGACTGGCCAATTGAAAGGCTTCGTCGTGACAATTTGATAAAATCAGAAATTTGATAGCCGAATTATAGTCGTTCATCTTTTGGAAATATTTCGCAACCATCTTTGCACCTTCTATGCTTTTGGTTTGTTGAACAACTTCAACGCTGCGAGCTGTGGAATAAAATAATTTGGTCAAGTATATTATTTAAATATTACTAATATATCCTGTTGTGGAGTAACAAAACGCAAATACAAAATATATTTACCGGGATTATTTAAATGATCCAGATTAATTCTGATTATGTTATCGTAATCCTTGGCGGTTTCATACGCTTTGGCAGCTTCTTCATATTTACCCTCAGATTCTTTGGCTTTAGCATATTGTATGTTAATTTTCGCCGACGATATTTGCGGTAGGAGCTGTCCCACTTTGTGCCAATTTTTCAATTTTATATATGCGGATGCAGCCTTGTCGAAATATTCGGCCTTTTCGTATAACTGCGCAGCTTCGCTAAATTGCTAGAGATACACAAATATTTATGCAATTAACTTCATACAATTAAACCTTCGAAATTTAGTAGAAGTGAATATACCTTCATTGATTCTAAAATCTCCGCGCATTCTTTTCGCAATAGCCTCGAACTTTCGTTATCCATGGCTATCCCGACGCCTTTTCTGCTATCACCGCATCTTATAGACATTCTCGCTATTCCTGCTAAACATTGAGTTCGATGGTGAGGATTTTGCGCAGCCAAAGCGGACGTGTTGTAATCAACTAGACCGCGTTCGTAATTTGTTAGAGCTTTTGGGTAGTTTCCTCTGTGCAAAGAGATACATTCATTTATAATAATTATTTGCAGTATACAAGAAAGTTGTTGTGTATGTTTTTATGAGATATTTTGTTGAAGATAAGTAGTTGGATAATTTATAATCGTTATATATTATCACCATATGAAATCTGATTTGTTTATACTGGATTATATAATTAATAGGATTAATATAAAACTCTTACGTGAACTCCAATTGTTGGGCATACTCTCTGGCAATAAAAGGGATCTCGTCGGGTTTTAATTTTTGCGCCAAACTTAATGCTTGTTCCCACTGCATTAAATCTCTCCTCAGATACAAGGCCTGCACGGGCTCGGAAGATTGCAGAAAATACTTTTCGGCTTCGTTATAATTGCCTAGTAATATACACGCGTGTCCGCATAACAAAGCCAATTCATCTATATTTTCCATATTTTGTAACGTCCATACCATTGCAGCATCTTCCATATGCCGATACACGCGAATAGCTGCGTACGATAAATTTCATGTAATATTTATTTTAATGTCGTAATATAAAATTGATGAAACATGCCTTACCAAATTCGACATTTAAATTTGCAATGGCGCTTTGTCCCAGTTTTAGCCAAGCATCTTTCTCGTTTAATTTTTCGCAGCTGTTCCATGCTTGCTGGAACCTAACAGATAATCCAAAAATGTTTTTCTTTTGTTTCAAATATTTTGTACACAGCTCCTTATTTATAAATTGGATTGTATAAATCTTACCGTCTACACAAAATTTGATTATTAAAAATCTCATTAATTTTTTTCGATTCCACGATATTCCCTACTTCTTCGTGGGATGTTAATGTTGATTGTATTAATTTACTACCCATTGTACTCAGCGTTACTTCGCCAGAGTACATTAGTAAAGGCACTGAATCCGATGGCAACTTGGTCGTACTTATTTTTATTACTTTGGTACCTGTTCACAATGCAATCGAATATGTGAGATTTCGCGATGAGATAACACATGACGCTCATTCAGGTCTCACTTACCTTCAACGAAGTATTTTACAAAAATGTATGTTACAATAACGCTTTTGTTGTACACTGCAAATATAGCACGTTCAAATATGTTCTGATCCCAGAGAATGCCGTCAATGTTATCAGGACAATCAGGCACGGCAATGGCCGCTTCGTTTATCGGATCAAATACATAGACGTCAGACTTATTGTCAACGAAGCACAATTGTATTCCATTTGCGTCCAAATGTAACTCTTTTATTCCATTGTTATGCATAAATTCGGTACACTGGTGAAATGTCTCCAAGCAAAAATATATAATATGACCCATCTAAAAATTTTAAATAGACGCATTTTCAAGTTTTATAATTTATAACGTTGTTCAAAATTATCTCAGGATGATGCTGACTTACGTCATTACCATAAACCAGGAAATCCGAGCAAAGAGCGTGACACGTTATTCTACTGTGGGAAAAATTCGAATCCGGGAACATCTTCGTATCCTTTCCGTTATTTATTAGAGTCTGATCGGATTTAATCTGCACATGAAGTAGAATTAGCAAGCACGTCTTGCGCGATTCTCACTATTGATTTGTAATTAAACTAGAAACTCATACTTACCGAATGCAACTGCAGTTTCCCGTCAAATAGCGCCGATACATATGTCTCATTCAAGCGGATGCTATCTATCGTGGCCAAATAATCTCTCTCGAAATGTATTTTGTCATAATGGCTTATAGATAAATCCCAGAAGAGCGCTCTATTGTTTAATCCTACCGCTAAGTGTGATGGACCCACCGCTAATATCGCCGGTTCTATTATAGTGTTGATTACTTGCGGGCTCGGTTTGTCCTGAAAAACATGAACATTGGTGAAAAGGTCCGCTTTGTCACTTTGCGTCGTTGGAAGGTACCTTGTCTAACGTATAAAGATGTACAGTCACTTCCATCAGGCTCGTCAATAACGCTATTTTGTTCCCGCAGACGCTGGTCAATTTCGGAATCTCTATCAAATAAATTAAAATATTGCCGACGTAAGTCACGACTGCCAGCATCGTTCCGTCCGTCGACCACTCGATACTGCTGATTCCATTTTCGTTGGTCACCGTGATCAACGTCTCGGTTTCCTCGAGATTCTGCAGACTGTGCACTTTCAGCGTATTGTCGCCGCAAGTAGCCACCTTCCCGACCGCTTGGCTCAACGCGATATCCGTCAGAGAATCTCTGTGATTCTTGATTTGAAATAATTCTTGACCAACTTCCTTTATGTGCGTCGATATCGCGATAAAAAAACCAGCCTCAAATCCTACCAGTATGTAACCATCGCCATACCTGTAAGATAGAAATGCACGCGCATCGTTATCACAGTACAGCGCGTTAGAATTATTTCGTATTACTAGTAGACAATTACCACTTGTAAGTTACAATTAACCCGTAACGTTTCTGAAAGGCCAATTCAATAGGATTGTCCGGATCCAGAATGTTGTACAGGAACAATGTCGTTTTGCTAACGATGAGGGATACCTAAGTACATATTTTTGCACACGTAAAAGTAACAGCTCTACGTGAATATTTTGTGGATGTTTTTTTTAACAGCGAGTGTCAGTGAAATATTATACCGTGTTTTCACCGCCTAGTCTGTGGTCCATTTTCATCTCGCTAAATTGTATGTGAGACGGATCGCCTTGAAGAGTTATCTCTCGGCGGGTATCGCCCTCGCTCGTGCTGATGGTTAAAACCTTGTCCTCGCTTGCCAATGCGAGAAGACCGTCTGCCGACCACGCGCCGGATAAAATGCGCTTTCTGTGTTTTCCCAGAATAGGTATCCGCCTGTGCAACGCAGAAGAATTAAATAGAGTAACTTTAAGACATTTTACATTATATTACATTCATGACTCATTGTTTCTCGTCTTTGGCCTGATATCGTACTTGGCATTTATATGATCGTAAAGCACCAGATTTCCCTTCTGCGTTCCTATCGCCAGCAGACAGCTCTTCTTCGCCCACATCATGCAGGTAAGCCCGTCCCTCACGCCCGCGTCTATCTGGGACTTTTTCCCAGTCGTGGCGTCCCATAGAATTAAAGTCGACGAATTCTGCGATATTATGGCCAACAGATCCCCGTCCGAGTCCCAGCCGAAGCCGGTGCACAATCCGGAAATTGGTATCCGCTCCTGAATGTCCCCTTGCCTGTCGAAAATGGCAACGGTGGAGTCGCAACCCGTCGTGGCCAGATGCGTGCTGTTGCCAGGACGCCAGGAAATGTAGACGTTACCGCTGCCGTGGGGTTGGTCTAATCGATAAAGGACCTGTCGTTAAAAAATTGTAAATTAAAAATTAAACGAACATTTTCCTTTGCGCGCAGAAATAGAGGAAAAAGCGTAAAATCTACGTAGCGATAGATAAAATGAGACGAATAGATTACAGATTTGATTAAGTAGAACGTATTTTTCGCACTTGGTATCGTTAACGTTGATATTTTTATTAAACAATTTCGCATAGAGTAGGTCTGTCGACGCTAACATAACCTACCTTCTCCGACGACATCGTAACGCGGAGAATTTGTCTCTGACGGGGAAATTGGTCAGTCCGCGCATTTAAGTGATATATCTATACGGCATTACGATGTGCATAGCTTAAATATTGATTTATTAAGCAATGTCGCTTTCGCGTACCGACATATCTCCTATGTCGGCCATATTGTTTACCTTTGTGTTGCTTTGCTTTGCTTGTGCGATCGATTTGCATCTGTACGTTGACGAGGAAAACTGCTAGCTAATATAACTCGATAGATAAAGTAGTGATAACAATAAACACAATATAACAATATCATTGATGGCTAGTTGAGAAAACATTTTTTTGTCAAAGATTTGTCAGAGATCTGTATAATTACCTCTTCTATCAGCTTTTAATTTTGTTGATGATTTCGATAATAATTTTTTTAAACAAGCACGAAGGATAATTCAAACTAGGCCTCGTCAAAAATATAATTGTCAGCCAAATAATAATATATGTGTTAAATAATAATTATTATAACAGCTAACCAATAATAATAATCAGCTAAATAGTAATTATGTCAGTTGAAATTTCATTTTTTTTAAACTTGATTTTTCAAGATTTTACTTACAAGTATCCTGCTGCTGATTTCTTTAGACATAATGCGTCATTCAACTGTAGAAGGGAAATGACATCGAGAACGTTGAAAGTAAAAGAAAAGGCGTGTACATGTGTAATTTCGTTAAAAAATATATTTTGTAAAAAGGATTCTTTTATTTTTGAATATTAACTTATTTTGCGAGTAATCGTGGCAATCCGCTCTATCACATCCATCAATATTCGCGGATTCATATGGGAAGATAAATATTAATCACACAAATGACATTACCAAAAACACGTTTTGTAGTACCAACCCTATGCCATAATTTGTATATACAAAAAGCCGATAGTTATATTTTAACTGTATTTTATGTTACATGCATATCAACAGTTTTTTAAGTATAAAGTATCGATAGCATGATTTTATCGGCCACAAGTACGCGAACCCTCGTAATTGCATCTGGATTCATACTGTTGTTTCGCTCACGACGCTTCGTTCGTGCTCGTCATCAGCTTAGGGAGTAGCCTTCGGTTTCAGTTCGTCGTAACACGGTCTCAGGAAGATCTGATTTTTCTTCGCCGGATTGTAGTACTCGTGGCCCTGAAACATTTGCAAATCGATTATGTTACGTGCAGACAATTTCGACGATTAATTTACTCATCGAACGACAGCAAGTCGTGTGGGAATCCGCACCTTGGACCAATCGTAAGAAACCGCGTACGCAAATATCTGCCCATTGTGATTGAAACAACAACGTGTGATGGGTTGCTCCATCGTTTCGGAGGATTTCAACTTGGTACGTGCGTCCTTGTCCCAAAAACCAAAAGTACCATCGCCGCCTACGGTCGCCACGGTGCCATGCACCGGATGGAATGCTATGTCGTTTACCTGTCCGCGAATCGATAAGTTATCGTGCTTGCCCAAGAAAATAAAGGACGTATTTCATTTTTTAAATTTTATTTCACGTCTACGAACCGCGTAGATGTCTTGGTATCCATTGGGCGTGCCGTTAGTCCGGTGGCATTTAAACGTAAAGTTCTCCTTTGTGCTGAGATTCAGATGATGAATCGCAACGCGTCCTTCCGTGCTTCCTATCGCAAAGCCGGTCGGCACTTTCTTCTTGTCCCTGAAGATCGCCACGCAACGATACTGATACTTCAGGCTCAATTCGACAGGTTTATATTCGCGCGGACTGCCCTCCAGTTGATAGACTATTAAACCGCGTCCGGCCGTTCCCACAACCGCCATGGGGTAGTCCTGTGATATCATTAGTGTCAACGATACCGCACAGCGTCATGTATTTTATTATATACTTGCTTGCACTTACAACATCCGAGCAATAGCATCTTTCTGGTAGGTTGATAGTCATCGCCGGTTTGGGACTGCGCAGATCCCAAAACTGAAAATTTCACACTTTGATAACAAATTTCAGGCGTATTAGAGAAATATTTTAATAATAATAACAAATATAGTAAGAAAACTGACAGACTAGTAGGCAAAAGAATTTGATGAATTATAAAATATAATGTTAATTCTTAAAGTAAGATTGCAAATTGAATATTAACCCTTAGTGTCTTGTCCCAGGAACCAGTCATCAGACAAGAATATGTAGATGCCTTTATCCAGTGGCATGTTCTGATCGGTGCGTCATGAGCCGCCACTTGTACGCTCTGATTCGTAGCTAGGTCCCAGCACTTTGCCGTCTTGTCGCAACCCGCCATAAATACTTTGGTTCCATCCTAACAATTATCACGTGGTCATTATTACATTCTTTCGTGCTGTTATTTATCCGCAGTTGTGTTTGTTATATATAATTACATTATTATTATCATATTAACGAAGGGACTTACGTCACTCCAGCACACATCCAAGACCGGCGCTGCCATACTCTGCATGGATTTCGGTACCGTCTTGCCGGATTGCTCCACCTCCCAACAGCGAACGTTGCAGTCCCAGGAGCCGGCCACCAAGAAATTCTGCGGTATGGACGCCGGACTGAAGGCCAGGCTGGAAACCGAGTCGTCCGGCGGCGAGACAACCTCGAAGTCTTGCATCGGATTCGACGTGTTCGACGTTGCCGTCCTCAACGAGTTGCTCTGATTGAACATACTTGATCGGCTGGATCTCGATCGTCTCTCTCGATTTCTCTGCAGGTAGAAATATATCGGTGACGGACAGATCAATTTCCCGCGTGTGCCGTCTCCTCCCTCATGCGGGATGTAAGTATGCGATATTGTTTACCTGGCAGTTTACGTCACGCAGGCGAGAACGGGGAATCTCTACATCATCCACGCCCGAATCAATTCTGAACGAGATGCTGAACGAAATACGAAAGCAATACGGAGCAGTACGGAGTGAACGTTTTAACGATGGAGCTCGCGGATTTGTGAATTCAATCAAAATAAAAGGCCGACATCTCTCGCTGTAGTTCTCAGCTTCGCGCACGCGTCGCAATACGACAAGGAAAGTAGATGGTACTGAGATAGGAAACTGACAGTAAATATCGGAGCGCAGCCAGCATTTTCTAATGATGATCAACGATTGGCTATAAAATAGGGAAGTCCACGAGTCTCTAGAAATTCTCTATTCCATACCAATTTGAAAATCATTATTTGAAATATTTAGTATTAATTTAATATTATTTTATAATATAATATTAATATATATATATATATTCCATTTTTTAAATTGCATGATAATATTAGTATTTTAAGTTACGATTGTAGACTGCAAGGCAGATAATTTGTTTCAACAAGCATTTAATTAATAGCCAATATTAATTTACTATATTTATTGTTATAATCATATGATAGAGTTGAGAATGTAAAACTCTTATTAAAAAGGTTTTCTTATTTCACACAACGTGTATTTCTTAGAAAACTTGGCGTTACAAAAATAACACAAGAGAGAATCTTAATGATTTGTACACAACAAAAAAATTAAATTATTTGCATGTTACATTAGGTCTTATAGCTTTGAGCAGTATCAGATCCATAAATACGATTATGGCTGCGGTCCACTTGACGCTACAAATGCTTGAAGCATTCCTCTTCTCTTTTCTTTCAATGAAGAAAGAAGGAGAAGAAGAACGCTCCAAAGTATTTGTAGCATCAAGTGGACCACAGCCTATATTATATATTCATTATTACATTATAATCATGATATAAGAGTTAAGAATGAATTAACTCCCATTAAACTTTTCCTATCTCACACAACCGTGTATCTGTTAGAAAACTTGGCGTTACAAAAATAACACAAGAGAGAATCTCAATGATTTGTACACAACAAAAAAATTAAGTTATTTGCATGTTACATTAGGTCTTATAGCTTTCAGCAGTATCAGATCCATAAATACGATTATACTATATATTTATTATTACAATTATAATCATGATAGAGTTAAGAATGAATTAACTCTCATTAAAAAGCTTTTAATATCTCACACAACCGCGTATTTGTTAGAAAACTTGGCGTTACAAAAATAACACAAGAGAGAATCTCAATGATTTGTACACAACAAAAAAATTAAATTATTTGCATGTTACATTAGGTCTTATAGCTTTCGGCAGTATCAGATCCATAAATACGATTATATTATATATTTATTATTACAATTATAATCATGATAGAGTTAAGAATTAATTAACTCTCATTAAAAAGCTTTTCCTATCTCACACAATCGCGTATTTGTTAGAAAACTTGGCGTTACAAAAATAAGATACGAGAGAATTTCTTTTCAATAATTTGTACACAACAAAAATTAAGTTAATTGTATTTTATACTAAGTCTTATAGCTTGGAGCGGTCCCAGATCCGTAAGTACGATCCCACTCGATGTAAATGTTCAGATCCGACTGAGAAACGCTGGGTCGCACGTTGATCAGCGCTTGCTCGAAATCGCGATTCGTTATGTGCCTCACTTCCTCCATTCTTATATCCTCGAGCTGACTGAAGGGGATACTCCGGATCGGTTCCATGCTCGCTTCCTTGCAGAGATTCGTCATGTCGGCGCCGGAATATCCCGCTGATTTCTCCGCGATCCTCGCGATTTCCTCCTCAGCGAGATCGTGGTGCACCGATCTCAATAAATTGTTTATTATCTGCTTACGCGCCTCGAGCTCCGGCAGTGGTACGTACAATCTCTTGACGAGACGTCTCCTCGCCGCCTCGTCCAACTCCTGAGGCCGATTGGTCGCGCCGACGATCAGAATGCGATCGTCCTCGGACGTCGCCGCGCCGTCGAGCTGCACCAGGAACTCCGTCTTCAGCCGTCTGGAGGACTCGTGTTCCGTCTCCGAACGCTGCGTCAGCAGCGAATCGATTTCGTCGATGAAGATGACGGACGGCTGATGAACCTTGGCCACCGCGAACAACGCGCGGACCATCTTCTCCCCGTCGCCGATCCATTTGGAGGTCAGTGAGCTCGCTGAAATCGAAAAGAACGTGGACTTGCTTTGCGAGGCTATGCACTTGCCGATGAGGGTCTTTCCCGTGCCGGGCGGGCCGAAGAGCAAGATCCCTTTGGGCGGACGGCGGAGACCCGTGAAGATGTCCGGCCTCAACATGGGGAACACCACCACCTCCTTGACGATCTTCTTGATGTACTCGAGCCCCGCGATGTCGTCCCACGTTATCGTTTTACCCAAATCCATAATCTCGTTCTTTATCAGCTCGATCATGTTCGGATCGATGTTCTTCAGCCTCTCATCCTCCACTTCCTCCCCGCTCGCTGTGCCTTGCGGCGCACTGTTACTTTGCTCTTCTTTGTCGCGTTTGAACGGGCAGATGAACGGAGCATTGGCCGCTCCTCGACCGCCCAGAGTCTTCTTCGGTGCCGATTTGTTCTTCTTCATCTCCTGGATGTGGAGTTCGTCCCTGGCGCTTCTGAAGGAATCGAGAGTGACTCTTTGCGTTTTGGCGTCTTCGCTGCTGGACTGTGGAGGAGTAGCTGGCTTTAATTTCGGTGCATGCGGATCTATCGGTACGAGTCTGCTGCGCGAGTTTTTACCATTCGTATCACTATTGTTTAATTTAGGAGGCATTTTTTGCACAAATTTATCCAAATTCGGATAAGAATGGCTGTTTGATTGTACTTTGGGTGTATTCTGTTTGGCGTGACTTACATGCTTATTAATACTATTTCTAGGAATATTCTTGAAGTAAGTAGATATTTTCTGTTCACTGTTAGGCTTCAATGAGAATTCTTGACTCAAACTTTGGCTAGAAGTTGCCTGCAACTGCGGAGAGATTTTTCTACTTCTCTCCGATATATCCTTCTTCGAACTGTTTATTATTTTCTCTATATCCCTATCGCTGTAAGATCTTCCTTTGCAAGGTAGAGTGTTGAGCTTCTGACAAGCCAAAGGTTTTATAAATTTCAGCGTGGCGTCCAACTTCTCATCGTCCAACTTCGACTTCCACTTCAACGGATCGTTTTTCACGTTCGATAGTTGAGATTTAATCTGTTTCCAGTAATTGTTTACTCCAGTCTTGTCTCTCACCAGAGTATGATAGTCTTTAAGACCCTTTCGGAGCAGCTCCGCCGCCGTACCTTCCGAATCGCTGCGCAATAGACATTCACAAGTAAATAGAAAATGTGCGTGACAAATTTAACATGACAGAAAAACTATGACGTGCACGTATGCACTTTACTTACAACAACTTTGTCGTCATGTACTTCACAGCGAGAGACCTGCGTTCGATGTCCGCGACATCGAAGCAATCCTTATCTTCCTTTGAAAATTTCAGGGTGTGGTAGGCGGCCAAAACATTATTCTTCTCCTCCTTCGAATTTTGTGCAACACGTGTCTTCGCACCGGCAGGATTTACATCCTTATCCATGATGCGTCAAGGTATGATATAATAAAGTACCAGGAGCACAGAATATCTTTCGAGCGTTATCGCAATTGAAGCGTCATCGCGTCTTAACAAATCGTTTGGCGCTAAGATTTAATTATCTCAAATTATCTCTGACACGTGATAACAACAACTTCTACCCTACACCTGTTGCGGCGCGAAATATTGCGTACATTGAGCGCACACTCACTCCGGAATCAGAATGCGTTTTGGATCACGTGTTTCACGCCCGCTGTTGATTGGCTGATCGCGGAGGCCCGTTTCTGGTCGATTTTCGACGTCAGGTTGTGGTAGTCGTGTCGCGTTAGTCGCGTAACCTCACCTAACTTCAGATCGAACCTCCGAGTCGTCGGAGACCGGAGCTCGGGCCTCGGAGTCGGAGGCTTCGACGAATATACGCAACCCTTTCTCCAAAATTAAAGTATATCATCCTAGTTCCATCCGATCCGTAGATAGAATTAAGTTTGTTTAATAGCCAAGATAATCCATGCGAGGCGACTTGACGGGAACGTTGGAATTTGCCAACGAGGTATTATCGTATTATCGTTTGATAATTTATCACTGGATTTCAACGCGCGACGCGCGGCACCAAATAAAAATGGTGGGAAATAGTGAGAAATATACTTCAGCTCGTGTCAAGCTTTCGAAGGGTTTTAAAATATATCTTACGTACGCGTGTTATCAAAATTCTTGATGTTGTATCATTTATCGCAAAATTGTTACTTACATTATTAATTATATTGTTAATTATAAATATTATTAGACATTATATATTATTTTTCGCGATATAATGGGTGCGATCCACTTGGCGCTCACAAACCCTCTTGCGGAATTAAACATTTCATTCTTGTTGTCTATCAAATATTGAACAAGGACAACAAGCGTTTGAAGCGTTTAGTCGTCTAGTGGATCGCATCCAATGTTTTATAATTTTATATAGAAAACAATAGAGAGAGCAATTGGAATATTTAAATCATCTACAGTCTAAATAATTGAAAACGCTAAGAAGATAAGAATTTATTTATGAAATAACTGCAATGAGCATTTTAATGATAACTTATTAAATTATGCTCTTGTCTGTTTATTTATTTTTAATTTTACAATTAAATTAGGTTAATTTGATTAATTTTTTTATTTTAATAGGGTTCATACTTTCAGTATTCATTATTATTATGCAATATAAGGGTTTATTTAAAAACTAAAACACATTTAAAAAATTAAAATATCCAGCAAAAGGAAGATTTTACTTTTTCTTATATAAAGGAGTACAATTATATTAAAAAAAATTATATTATATAATTATCATCCCTTCGCTTTCGATTGCATTTCGTTAATTTTTTACATTTCCAAACTTTTATAACTCTATGGAAACTCACATCATTTGCGCATCTAATCGTAACAATAATAGATATATAATGCTATTCAGCTCATATAGTTATCTCTTCATAACAACGTCTATAATTCACAGTGCGAGCAATGCACGCAGTCTGAATCGGAATAGCACCCGCGGCGCGCACCAGTTTCGAAACATTTAATTATTAGCTATATAAACTTTGTAACACGTCCGTTTATGCCTGCTTCCCCCCCCCCCCGGCAAAGCCGTAATAACTACAGTAAACCCGATTCGCACCTCGCAATGGATTCTACTTACATACGACAGCGAAATGTCAAATAATGAGGCAATCGGGTAGTAACACGAACAAAAACGAGGCTTATTGTTTCATTAACACATAATTAAATAATGTTAATGCAAAAAAGTGAGAGAACGTAAAGTTACTTGATGGCGTTAAAAATAATAAAACTACGAGATAATCATACCGAACAAAATTATTATTTGCAAGAAAATAGATTTCTTTGTATTTAGTTTCCTTAATTCAAAGAAGTATATTAGGTAGATTTAATAAAAAAACATTTTTCTGAGTTTATAAACTTACAAAATAAAGGAGAAAGTAAAACGAAGGTTTTTTACCTACACCGAGAAAAAAATACTTAAAAATTTATTTGTGGAATATACTTAAGGTTTATTTCTGTGAAATAAACTTTCTCTCTGTGAAATAAACCTTATATTCCACGAATAAATTTTCAAGTATTTTTTTCTCAGTGTATAGATTGCCTGTATCGCTTTTCTACATATAGAAATGAATTTTCTCCCCGATGCATTCCTGTTTATCCATCAATCTTTTTCAGCGTCCGGACGGTCTCGGAACTCTCGGACTGAATTCCCTGCATGACCAGCCACGACTGTTTGCCATCTCGTTATGGATCGCGATGATGACAGGAACGATCGCCGCGGAAACTGCTACGTGGTGAGTATAAGGGGTTACATTGTTCCATTGGGGTTACATTCGATCGCCGTCGTGACCGCATTTGTGTTCGGGGACCATAAGACTATCGGACACGTACATACATATAGGGCGTTTCCAATTCCACGTTTATCCCGTATATATTGCCGTTAAATAATTGCCGTTAATCTGAAATTAGTTTTTGCCAGAAGCTTTATTTAATTGCGAGGGCTGCTACTTAAATGTTTTGCTAAGGCAACATTTTCTTTGAACCGGCTGAGGAAGACGCTTGCGAAATTTTAATCCGCAGCTTTAAAACACCCTGCAAAAACGTAATATATAATGTGTCGCCTAAATTAAAGTGCCAGCGATGCAATTGCGACGAGCAAAATGAGTTTCGCGCATTAAGATTAAGCGCGTTTCTTGCGATACGTGCTTGTCGCGCTGTGTAAAGATATAACATATTCTACTTTCTTGATCGAAGCTCAGTGATGTTTGCAAAAACATATCTTGTCTATTATTATGAAGATATTATTATTTAGCAGACAATTTAACGAGGACGTTAAAAGTTCTGAATTATAACACAATTCTTGAAAAAGAAAGAGAGAGAATTATTATTCGCGCTTTTTATAATAATTATACAGTATCTTTTATATAAATAAATTATTCCGCCTTTCATCTTCAGAGAGACTCATTCAAGAAGATAATGACACGAATAACATCTTATGTAATTAATCATTGTGAAAACCATTTATATTTCTCAGTCAATCCATTTCAATGCATTTATTTCCGTTTGAGAAATATAGGGAGATGGATATATAAATAATATACGACATTAATTTATCATATATTTATTTACCGTGTTTTTGCAGTGATACGTTTTGCTCGTTATAAGTATAAATTTGCGTTTAAAAATTCATGAATTTTGCATGGACAGTGATTTATTATCGAGATGTGAAGCGAATAAACAAGGCCGGTTTACGTAACGCCGAAACGAGAGGGAGAAGTTTACAAGCTCTCGGGAAAAGGAAATATCTAGTGATTACGCGAAGATTCTTCATGGTTGAGTTAGTTACAATAAAGTTGGAATTTAAATCGTAACAAAAGCTGTCCATAAAACTCGTGAGAATTTCGCAGAGCGTGCATTCGAGTTCGCAAACACCATAAGACAGTTAAGACTTGACGTATCAAGCGTCAATAGTGTTCTCCCGACAATAACTTCTGTAACAAGCTTACGAGAGAAAGAATGACATCTCTTCTACATTGCAGACGTCAAGCGTGCTTCTAAAGTATTGAATTTGCGAAGCGAACAGGATAGAAAATTTTCAAACATATTGAAGACGACAGTTTATCATTTTCTTATTGAAGTTTTCTTACGAATAATACATAGATATTGATTTGCATTAAAAAAATATATTACTTAATTCTCTTAAAACAATTAAAAAGATTAGAAAGGTGTAAAAAAAATAATTTACCTACTTTTTTCAGAACTTTCAATGTTTATATCAACTCTTACAAAACTAAATAAATTATTATTAAAAAATAGACTTTTTTATTTTAAGAAAAATAAATAATTTATTATAACAAAAAGGAAAGCTAGGTTTTTTTATAAAAGAAAATCTAGAATGAAGAGAAAGAGTTTTTTTTAGAGAGAGGTATAAGAATAATTAATTTTTTTAATTCAGAATATAAAATTTAATTATTGTTAAAGGGGTAAATTATTAATTTGTATTTATAATAAAAATAGAGAGATATATATAGAGAGTGATACAAAAGATATCGAAGGGTTGTTGGCAAACACTTTCTCAAGTCAGATCGAAGGATCAAGTACGATCGAAGGTATTAGCGAGATTGGTATAGGAGCTAAAAGCTAAAAGAGGAAACTGTGACGTAAATCGTGCTATTTTTTCGGAGGAAACCTTGATCTCAGACAGTTGATCTAATGCAGCTTATTCGACTTCCGCGAATGGGCTTTTAACGATTGCTATACACGCTACGTGTACTTAGTGTGCAAAATATGCTTAGCGTCGGTGAATTCTGTGATTAGTGGCGATCAAACGTCAATAATGGTGTTTCGGTTCGGTTTACTAGTCTGGAAACTCCCGTTCCAAAATTGGCTTAATTTCCGTTGATTAATTTTATCCCCGAGCCTCTACCTGCCAATCTACAATGCTCTGTTGATGTAGTGGATAAACAGTAATGCCGCTGTATAGCTATCGACCACCGCTCCAAGAGAATTTATGAGCTTCTGACTTCAGTAATGTCAGTAGGAATGAATGTACGAGGAAACTGGTGACATTTAAAGTAGAGAAATCTATCAAGAAATCTTGCAAAATAATTTTTAGGTATCTGCAAGTTTAATAATTTATGGCAACAGTTTAAAATTACAAATAAAAAAGAAAGAGTTTCTTTTCAATATCTTTTTCTGTTTAGTAATTTTATTCTAATAATATATTTTTTTAAAAATATTTAACTTTATTTGTTGAAAAATTTCTATCTGCTTCTCAATTTTATATCGCTTATGTCGCTTAGTTTCTTAGTCATTTTTTGCAACAGGAGTAATGTTCTGTGAACTGTATCAAATTTATCGAACGATAAATTTATTCTGTTCTTGTGCGTGTTATTATATATTGTTGTGAACTTTTCTATCGTACGACCTGTTGATTCGGAAATATTGAAATGAATTAGTATAGGATCTTGCAGAGGAATGGGTTTTAATTTTAATTCTTTGATTAATGTATTATAAGAAAATAGAAAGAGTATTTTTAGAATTTGGTAACTTATTTTTATTGTAAATTAATATCTCATATAATTATGTTGAAAATATCAATATGAAATAATAATACGAAAAAGATATTATCTACAAATTGAATATAAAGCTTATGTAAGCCTAAGATGCGGATAAAACTTTGAACGATAAAATTTTTTTTCATGTTTTTCTACTTCTCTCATCTGCGTGCAATTTAATTTTTCGTGCACGTTGTAGACTTCTAGCATCCTCAATTTTAATCTTTATTAAGTTTCTCATCAGTAGGTGGATCTGAGATAAGAAAAAATATGAAATAAGAAAAAAAGAACCCTTTTTTCTATTCAAATACTCATTAATTCAAGATTGCGACACTCTTGTAGGATATTTCGTATTTCTCTCTGCACTCAGATTTACTTAGCCCAGTATGTTTCCCGCTTTCGACCCGCTCAAGCGAGAACAAGCGTTAACGGACTAAACGCCGAGGAGATCTTAATTACGGAAGACACTCAGTCGTATTGATGACACGCCGACCTTTCCGACAGTCGGCGATTGGCGACTTGGGAGTTATTTAGAACTTGGTAAATTAATGAGCAACGAAGTTAGTTGCCGCGGCACTCCGACGACGCCGAAGTCCCGATTCCCGCGGGAAGTAATGATCGCGCAATTAAATCTTTTGTGACAGATGCTACACGCCGACCGGTTTAATCCGATTAATGACGAGAACTGTTAGGGGTTCGAGGGTTCTTACATTTGCACCTCATTTTACTCCGCTGTTAGGTATAGCGATTACGAACGAGACTTTACGAACCGGCACAAAAGTACGACGGAGGAGGAACGCGAGCTTGGCAGTTGCGAGTTCACGAACAATATAAATCCATCAAGTGGATCTATATTGTTCGTAAACTCGCTAGACGCAGGAAACTTATGCCATTAATATTCCTCAAGTATTTACAACGTTTATTTTTATTGGTACACTGGATGTTCACTTGATATTAGAATGACGAACAGCATATTTTTAGCATTTTTTTGACTTTTTTTTTTATTTTGGAGTTTCTCAGCTAGTTCTTCTTCCTAGGAAAATTCTTTTTCCTAGGGAAGTGTAATTATAATAACATAATGAACATAAAATAATGATTTTTTATCTCAGGATTTCAGTGAATGAATTTACTCGGTGGTTCTGTGTCCACCGAGAAAGATAATCAAGAAAAGTATGATATAATTAAACTTCCTTTAATTAAACATGCGGAAACAATACGAGAAACAGCGATGCTCAGGAATGCTCTTGGAGAAATTCCGCGACTCTTAATCCAATCTCTTTGCGTGCGTTCCACCTCCGAGCGTAAAATTTAATATACCTTGCCGAGGTAACGTTACCAGTTTTCTAAAAGATTTCTTTCGGGGTTAATATTGTATAAAACAACACCGGACTTGCTTGTTATAGCATAATTATTTGAGATCAAAGAATAACGTCATGTCTCATAATTATGCTCGTAAAGATCTAAATATGTACACCGTTTGGAACATCTGTTTGAAAATTTACAGCAGAATAAATGGATTGTTTGCTAGATAAGATCATTTAATACCATGTCAATTAGACATTTTGACAAAATAGCTTTAGAGGTAATCCTATCACGCTTGCGTCATACCCGCGCCGCATAACAAGTCTAATACACTTTCCGCGAAATATCGTTATTTCTAATGCCAAATTACAGTACAAGCTGCACAAGTGCACGCCTTTTTCAACTATATACGTTGACGTTCTGTTGCAATATACTTACCTTAGAATTGTCTAATTCGTATTTCTCATAATTTCATAGATCTGATAACTTTGAGAGAAATTAATATTCTGAAGAATATTCTTTACACAATTTGGTACGTATTCGGAAACGTTTAAAACGTTAATCGATTTGAGGATAATTTACAATTTTTATTTAAAAATAACTCGAAGTTTGCGATTCCTATAATTTTTTTTGCAAATAACATCATTGAATGGTAAATTCTGCGATCATATCCCGTTTTGAAACTTCAATTTTACTATTATTCAAATTTACTACTTATAGTTTCGCTACGTTTATCGAAACGCTATTATCGAAATTTCGCCTCGTTGAAATAAATGACGTTATAGTGTTTATCTGCGAATTAATGGACAAAAACACCGATTACTAGAAAGCAAAGTTTTATTTGTCACAATGCATCTCGTTACATTCACAATGTACAGACGATTAAATCGGGCGTACCCGCGCTCGAACGAAGTCGATGCAACGTTGATCCATGCTCGCGAGCCGCCCTGATGGTACTTTTTTACGTAAGAATTTTAAATCGAAATCCCGGATTTGTCGCTCACGGACAGAGAGAGAGAGAGAGAAAGAGAGAGAGAGAGAGAGAGAGCTAAAAAACATTTTGCGACCGGACCGCGGATCGCCCGTACGCGGGTTTATGAGCGTTCGTCTCGATACATCTCGGCGACAGTTTATTTCACCCGGGTTCTGGAAATGAAAATTCCTCGATTATAATGAAGCCTCCCGCGGTGACTGCGCGGATACGAACGAACCGCCGATTTTGGTTTTATTTCTTTTTATCCGTCTCTCTGTCTGTTCAGTTATCTCTTGCCCGCTCGACCGCATTTGAATCCTTTGCACATCGCTCACTTTGTACCTGAGGCACGAAAAGTAATTCCTTTCCCGGCGTTCCCTTAAGATTACCCACTCGCAAGCAATCTTCTGCACGAATACATTATGAAGTCCCTTTTCTGCATACGTTATCCGTATACGTGTACACAAACACACGCACATTCGTACGTACATACGGATATTTTTTATCCTTCCCGAGTATAAGGTGATGAACGAGCTCTTTTTTTCTGAGACACGAGCTTTTTTTCGGAAACCACATACCTCAGTCGCGAGGCTTCCGTCTGATTAACCTGTGAGAGCTTCATTCAATTCGAGACGCGGTCTCCCTTGAGCGTTACATTACACATACGAAAGGCGCTTATCAAACGCGCTGTTGATCGAGTCCACAGAAGTTGCCCGAGACGCGTGTCCTATCTGTCCCGTAAGTCCCGTTGACAGGATATGTCGAAGATCCGATAAATATCCGTCTATTCCCTCATCCGACAGAGAATCGAGGATTTCCGAGAGGAATTCCGCCGTTCTTCCCTTTTCGCATCTCATTATCGAGCGTTTATTTCCCCGCGCGATATATTGAGGTCTCCACGCGATTCCTTTGAATGATGTAGGTAAAAGTAGATAGCTCTTCATTAACGCATCGCTCGTGTCGTTTTGTCTTTTTAGACATCATCCCTTTTCCGTTCACTGTTAGCTTTTTCACACTTGCACATCGAATAATTGTCGAATGACCGCACAGGCAAAGCGTCGACAGAATTTTCAATTAGCTCGCAAAGAAATTTTATGAATGATAAAATAGAGTTATAAGATGAGAAATAATGATTTCGATAGATTAAAATACGCTGCTCGATACACAATTGTAGAGAATCTCATTAAATGTATATAAAAAGAGATAATATGATTTTAAAAAATATTTTTTTCAAGAAAATTATCTTACTTGTAAAAGTTTTTTTTACCAGAAATATAAAATGTTAAATAAATATATTTTACATTGATTTTAGAGTTACGATATTTTCTTGAAGCTGTTGATAAAATAATTGATAAAGTAATTATTGAAAAATTATTAGAATTAGAAATGTCCGAAAATGTGCATGATTTTGTTAATACTTTATTGAATTATAAATTATACGTTAAAAGATTGTAAGGCTATATATTAATTTATGAATCTCTGTTATGGTCGATTATATGTCAATTATTTATTATGACATAAACTCCGAAATATCTATAATAGCGATATATTTTTCTTTACATCGCTTCCGGTCTTCTGTACTTGGAATTACACACATTAGATTTTGTCTTGTAACTTGATTTTGTTATTCATATATTTTTTTTTGTTAGCGCGAATTTACGTATGAAATGTGCCTTGTATTAATTAATTAATTAATTAATTTGATTACGCACGGAATGCGATTAATTTCGCGAAATATTCACTGGCGATTGTAACGTTCGACATTGTAGTAAATTAATATTTAACATATTAATATTGCCAAACTTTCTTGGTTTGATTTTTCGTCACGAGCACTTCACGATTTCGTTTATTTGCGTCATTTAAATGCAACTTTCCACAAAACTCGATTCTTTGTCCTGACTACGAACACTTATCTCGGACAGGATATCGCGACACGTCCTCTGGGAAGCTGTTCTTCAACGCAGGATAATGCACAGCAGCCACATCAGTTTCGTCGCGTACGCGGAAACGGCACGATAGCTTCTTGTCAAGGATGCAAGTGGTCTTTATGATCCCCGCGTCGCAGCATTTCTTCCTTTTATCTCCGGAATAAACCGGAAATCAGATGCACGTCTCGTTCGCCACGATCGGTGAGATGCCGTCTCGCGTTTCTTCGTTCGATCGATATTTGGTCCTACCGTTACTCGCTGCGAAGGAGGATCTCCTCATATCTTGTGGCTGCGTGTCGGGACTAAGGAAGTCGCACGGCATCCTTTCCGCGTCGCAGTGGCTCACGTCATCGTCCTCGTCGTCGTAACGTAATCTTATCGGCGAACGTAGCATCGCGCTTGAATGCGACACGTTGCATCTGAAAAAAAAAAATTGCATTTATTTTAATCGTATAATAGCGAATTGATAAATAATCCCAATTCCGGGATTGTTTAACGTTGGCAACAAGGAGCAATTGCTGAGAAGATTGAGCTTTGAAATGATAAGTAACAAAAGTTACGAGAACTTAAACGTAACTGTTAGTAAATGTAATGTTCATATCTCAAAACTATATTGAAAATGTTCTGAAAAATTTCAGCAAAAATTATGGAAAATTCGGGCGTACTTTTTGACAAGTGAATAATCTTGATACTGATAAGATTGACAAGAGAGGGTATTATAAATTAAGGTGCATGTTCGTACTTGATACTACGTTGGTAGTGTACACTTCTCACGCGAACCAACTGGGACCCTCTTCTGGATCCGCATCTGCAGACCGTGGTATCTCTCATACTACTGAGGTCGTCCCTCGTGATCATGGGACTCGTCGGCGTGCAGTACAGCGTTCTCTTGAACGCCAACCTGTATTTGGCGCTCATCACGTTGTACAGAATCGGGTTCACGGTGGTGCTGAAGTAGTACAGGCAACCTCCCAGCGGATACAGCCACTCGTTAATGTCGTTGAAGGCCGACACCTGATACACGTACATTAAGCGTTGAGCGTGAAAGGGCGCCCAGCAGATAAAAAATGTTATCACGACCGCACCTGTGGAATGAAGCCATCGGTATCTTTCACGTAGCCGTATATCATTGTCACCACTTCGAGGATTAGACAGAGAGAGAGAGAGAGAGAAAAAAAGAGAGCGAAGAGCGTCACGCAAGAGGGATTATCGAAAATGATATAAAACTTGAAGCGTCCCGGGTAACTTTGATTCGCTGAAAACAAATTTAATTCCCGACAGAAACTGATTAAATAATCCATTAATAAAATCTTAAATTAAATATTTGCTAAAGGAGGATTTTTATTTAATTAAATAAAATTCATGAAAAGAAATGAAAAGATAACACAGCGCCTGGAAACATTTTGATTTTCCGAAATCATTATCCACAAGAAGAATTTTTCGCGGATCTAAAAGTATTCATAAAAACGTCATCTCTAATTAAATTCACCACTTTTTACTCCATTCCGTGATACCTGGCCATAAAATGCAGACACTGATTCGAATCAGTGATATACTTTATACTGATATCAGTGACTATTCACTGATTCAGATTTAGAGAGCACGGAAATGTCGCTTTATTGCTACCTTATATCGATTATGGAAATGTATTCACGTGATAAAAAAATATATGCTCTCTGCTTCTGTTCTTTGACGTAGCGAGACATTTATAGAGACACCAGATATGGAAAGAATTCAATATTTATTACCATCGAGTATTCCAAATTGTTTAGAATAAAAAGTGCGTAACAGTCATGGGAACGACGGAACACAGACGTTGGTGGAAATTTAAACGATACTTTTACCATATCGGGCTATTCAGGTATTGCCCATAATTTATTATATTCTCGCGCTTGAATGCTCTACGAGCGATATTCCGCTACCGTGAATCGGCGAATTTGCGTCGATATAATACAACCATACAACCTTACTTCTTGTTAGATTTTAACTGAACTACGGTATCTTCGTGGTCATGGAAATAGGAAATCGCTGCTCGATAATTAATAGATGCTTCCACCGACTCTTTCTGATCTTCGCAGGAGTACTTTACATAGCTGTTTACAAGCGCGACATATTATAAAGGAATGACATCAACATCACAATGATGTTGATGATGCACGGGCGATGCTCGCGCAAAAGAAGGAAACGTTCTTCCGGAAGTAATAAAACTAGGAAAATGATTATTGAGCAATTAAATCCCATTTAATTTGAATTACTTAAATATAATTTAAATAATAAATCAAATAAAACATTTATTACTTACAGTAATTGTTGGAAGTAAGTAAAATTTGCCAAAAGAATTTTATTTATATATTTTACACGCGCGCAGAAATTCCATATTTTGACATTTAAATTTATTCTTCTGACATGAACTTTTTCCCTGAAATATTCAATGAGAAATTGAGGATGTCAGAAATGTGAAAGAATTCCTTCTTATGTTATACACCGCGATCGGCAGTACTTTCATTTCTTTTTAAAGAACTATTTTTCAAGAGTAACATTTTTCTCCCGATTCACGACGAGGAATAATATTAAAAATTCCACGTTGTTGTATAACGCCGTATCTCTGAGAAACTAAATCAAGGAACTACTTGCGTTATGCAAACATTACTTTTTCTAACGACGTGAGATAAATCTTTCAGTGATATAATTGCCCATAAACTTCAAGTTAATTTTAGATTGCATCGACTTCAGAGCCGAGTGGCGGCGCGCAAGTGCTTCATAAAAAAGTAAAAAAGTAAATAGCGGGATTATGACGGAGGATAAAAGTTTCTTTCGTTAGATATATCTTGTTATGAGGTTGATGTGAGAATAAGCCCACCTCGGGCTAATGACGCAGCTTACCGCGTTGGGAACTATCGCGATATTACGTCCTCAATGGGTTACAGAACTTCATTCGCCGTCATGAAACATGCGAGCGAATACGAAAACCGTGCGATTATCGTATGGAATTTTGACACCTCCGTAATAACTGCTCTCGAAAATGGCACTCGCAATATGACCCCTCGCAATTTATCGTACGTCAAAAATATTAAAGCACGCTGATACAGAGGCTTGGACAAGATTTATGCGATGGAAGAAAAATTGCAACTCTTACGTACTATTTTTATCTTTTTTGTTTTGCTCGAATAAAATTCCCATGTATTTCACGCGCAGTTGCTTTCAACTTTAAAACGATATTGTCGATATTATACCTATGTCGATCAGAAATATACACGCGATATCTTTTGCAGCATTATTACTTTAGAAACACAACTTACGTTTGTTGCGCGTCGAGTTCCTATAGAAATTTAATACTGGAAGTGATTATTTGGCTAGTAATTAATTACTTATTTTGAGTATCAAAATCATAAAAAAAAATACTTTTAATACTCAAAATAAGTAATTAATTACTAGCCAAATAATCACTGACAGTATAAAATTTCTGTAAGGGAGTTTAATCGATTCGTCGACTTCATGCCTTCTAATAAACGAATACCGTCGTGACGGAGATTGACAGTGATATAAAATTCCATCGCGTGTGATTTATAAAACATACGAAATTATGTCTGACGGCTTCGAGGGTGTAAAAGAAATGCGATCGAAATAAAACGCGGCGTTGGCGCGGCGCGATAAATTCGATGTGGCGTGTCGCGCCAGTTCTATGTGTGCGTGTATGTGTTTTCTCTGTGCGGAGAGTGAGGTATTTTGATGTTCCGGAAAAGACGGAAATTTACTGAGCATTCGGATGATGGCTTTTCGTGATTGAGCCTGCCTCGTCTCTCCGTGAACGGAGCCCTCGATGCTCTGACCGAGACCGTTGCTTTGTATTCGGAGGCCCATCCTCACGTAAAGCACCGCTATGGACAACATCGGCACGAGGAAGAATATGAGACAGCTGAGCTCGTAAAGCGGGAACTTTGGCATGTTAGGCAGCAACATGGCACACATTGCCGACTCCTCGGAATGACGACCGGATCCTGCAAACAGATGCGGACAACACGTCCCTCTTCTGAACTTCCATCATTATCTCCGGTATTCCATCTTTATAGATGATATAAACCCGACAAAGGGCGGGGGACTTTATTAAACTTTTCATACTGATAATAATTAATTGCCACTTGGCAATTATTAAGTCAGGATTTATTTTCTCCGTGAAATCAAAAAGTTCTAATTTTCTGAATGGTATCGGAATCGTATCTTGAATGAAAAATTTATAGCATATAACCGCTGACAATTAAAACCTGTGACTTGGGTTTTTTTATAAAGTTCATTTCAGTTACACGAATGATAAAAATCTGTCACAGACAGCCCTAAATTGTTAAAAAGCTTTTAACTTGAATTTTAGGGAATATGCTGGTTTTATTAATATCCAATAATCTGAAATACAAATTCTCTTGCAAATGGAATTTCGTTATAATCTGTCAGCTACATATTGCAATTGTCGGATTAAAAGCTTTAAATCATATCAGTACAGAAGCATTATAATATGTTCTAATTAATTTGCGATTGTATAACCACTTATCTGTGCGATGTGTAAAACGGATTTAAATATTTGAATTGGGGTTTTGTTAAGTATACAACGTTTGGAATAATAATTTGCATGTTTTATGATCATGTTTTATGATCACGGAGATAGAAAAAGTTGGTCTTGCAAACAAATTCATGAAATATATAAATAATTGATTTGTAAATATCGATTTAAATTAAATTCAAATATTTTTAGATCAATAGTACAAAAATTTGAAAAAATGCTCTGATCATTCCGGAAACCAAAGTTTTATTTCACTCTATACATACCTGTATATATTCAATAAAAAAATTAATTGTATCTTACTCCGTTTTGCATATAACAATCGTTTTAGTCGATCGTGTTAAAACTGAGAATATAATTGTACTTGTAATTTTACGTGTCACGAAAACATTTAAAAAATTGAAGAAGGATCTTTTAACATTATTACGCAAGTTTAAATTTATTAAGCAAATAGTTAATTATGCAAATATTAATATTGTTTATATGATCTATTTTATATCTCGCGATTCGAGTTTTAAACAAATTGTCCATTATCATTTTCCGATTTTGAGGGTTTGAAGTAATATACGAATCGCCGGGATAATTTGAATAACGATAAATTATATGCAATATATCAATCGTTCGTCGATAATTTCGTGTATTTCGCGAGATTACGCGTTGCGTATAATTAACGAGTAATATCGTGCGTTTGTTTTTACGTTCTATTAAATGAAAAAATTACAAGAATAATTCATAATATTACAAGAATTTTTAAACAGTTTTAAAATAGCTTTATTTTAATATAAATACAATACACTGGCATAAAGTTATATAATAATAGGTTAATTTGCATAAAGAATTAAATACTATCTCGATCAAATAGAATAGATGATATTGTTTTGAATAAACGTGAGAGAGAGGATAATCCTTTTATCGAAATTATGTTAAATTGCGTGGGACAGAATACATATGTTGAAATTATTTTGTAAATTTAAATATTTCGTAGCGACAAATCCTCCTTCTCCTCCCCCAGGCCATTCACCAGCAGATTGATGGGCGTGTAGCCCTGGGGTTTGTTATTGTTGCGTATTGGGTCGTATTTCCGTTCCGACACTCAAGTAAGCCGGCAGTGGCGCGTGCCGCTCCGTGCAATTTACATTATCATTTCTCAAAATGCGATTATTCTTTACGAACGATACAATTTTCACGATTGATTGATTATTACGATTTGTATGCGACAGCTACTTATTGACGCGGTTATTTTACGAGCTTACTTTACTCATTTTACGTCGGAATCGAAGCAATAGGAAATGAAAGTTGTATATCATGTTATTGGCATATTTATTGCCGGTAATTATTTCTTTATTAATGACTCTTGCGAAATATCGCATCGCTCACTAACTTCTTCGCTCGATTAAAATACGGTTTATCGGTTATCATTTCCGGATGAGAGTGCAGAGTAATACACGAATTGCCAGTTTGGAATATTTAAATAATGAAGAACCGTCCTGCGCGAACTATTTATTGATAGTGTTTCGTATTTATTGGTAATATTTTCGCAAGAATGCATATCGCATTTGATGCCGTGCAAAATGCCGCGCGATCTGTATTTCGTTTGTTATTAATATACGTACAATTCTAATTAAGTGTAATCGCAACCTGGATCCTTTATATACAAATAGGTGTTTAAAAAAAAATGCAATTGAGAATATACCATGACATATTTAATGATATTAATAATATAATATTTAGAAAATTTTACTACTTAAATGTACTGTAATTGATTAAATTTTATCGCTTAGAAAAATAAAATCGTGAAATTAAAAATGCAAATAAAGATAAAATATAATTACAATAAATAAAAAATATATTGATATATCGAATTGGGCTCTCTTATAGTTTTTTTTCTCTCTCTTTCTTTTGGAGTTAAACTTTATATAATAGAATCCAAGAAAGCAATATTCAGAATTTTTATTCAATTTGTCTAATTGTGAGTTTAAATTAGAAAATAAACAAGAAATATCTCACTGTGTTAAAGTATATTCTGCACAATTTATTTCATAGAACACGCACGAATGAGTGTAAACTGTATTTTTTGTCTATAGAATATAACAAAATATTTGCATATTAGTTAATTTAAATGCTTGATATTAAAATATTATTTTTAAATGTTTTATATACTAAAAATAAATTTGATAAAATATTAGCGTTATAATAACGAGATATTTATTTTGACATAAAAGTTCAAAGCGTAAAAAATTTATGCTTATATTGAAATTATGCTGATACCTACATATATATTGATTATACGGAAAGTATTTTAACATTTCAAAGAGGAACATGTCTAGCACATATCTTCTTGGAAACTGAGACGTTTATAAAGTAAGACTATGTTCCGAAACTTCTTTAAAATATTCAAAAATACATGGCAGGAGCCCGAGAAACCACAATATCAGAAGCATTCTGAAGTTGCCCTGTTATTTTCATGACCATATCGTGTAGAAGGAAGGAAAAACTCAGATAACATGCATGTTGCATAAGACGTCGTAAAGATATCTTTAAGACAACTAAGATATCTTAAGATATCTTTAAGATATCTTTACGACGTCTTATGCAACATGCATGTTATCTGGGAAGGTATATGAATTATAAATTTACTGTAAATTGTACTGTAGGTTTTTTTTAAATAATTAAAGTACTAATAATTAAAAATTATTAATTTATGTACTCGTACATACGGAATATTTTGATTTAACTAAAAAATTCTTCAATTTTTATAATATAAAAAATATAAAGAATCGATCACTGTTATACATGAAATAATGGATCTAATCTTTGCACTATATATTTGCAGTATATAATTTTTACAGTATATATATATTTTTCCTTCTATAACATAACCTATGCAAATAATAGAATATAATGGCAATTGATTTGTATGTAATTTCAAGGTTATATTTTAGTCTGAAAGAATTCACACTAAATCTCGCTTTAGGTGATTTATATGTAATACTAGCTTGAGCTGTCCAGCGTTGCCCGTCGAGAAATATGTGAAAACACATTTTACCCCTTTTTACCCTGTTAGGAGTCGAATTTCTAAAAATCCCTTCTTAATGGGTGCTTACGTCATAAAAGGAATATACTCCCTGAGTTTCATGTTTCTAGATTTAGGGGTTTGGGCTGGGCGTTGATGAGTCAATCAGTCAGTCAGGGGACTTTTGTTTATATATATAGATATATAAAATATACGATGTACTACATACCTATACAAAATTAAATTGCACACATATATTAAAAAATACACATATAAAATTATGAATAAAACTCCATTATGAAATCTGTTGCGAATTATTGTCTAAAATGGGCTTTTCACTATCTGTTATCCAGTTACATGAAATATAAAACGTGACATTAACATGGACGCCGAACAATTACAGCGATTTATAATCTTAACGATGCACATTAGGTGCATTGTTATACCTAATGTTAGTACTGTTAGTATTATAAGGATTATAAATCCCTAAACTTTAAGATGATTTAAGATTTTAGATTTTAGCAAATTAGTGAAGTTTGCGATGAAAATTAAATTCTATACAGATGTATAATGCGTGTTTGCGCTTGACGAACACCGCTATCGTTATAAGGGTACTATTTCATTTGTCGTACGATTTGGCGTAATTCAGTTTTTACCCATTTTGCGTAAAAAATGTTAGAGTAAAATATACGAAGACATATATTTAACGTTATCGTCATTTTCTTTTTTTTTTTGTAGCACAGCATTAAGTCCGCGATTGCCGAATTGTACATTAAAACAGAGTCATATATATATAATTATTTGTTTTATTGATAATCCTTTGATAAAAATATTATATAATCACGAAAATGACACGATTACAAAATTTATTGCATTAACATGAGAAATAAGTGTTTCTTGATGCTAAATTTATATATTTTTCACTACCGGATAATAAGTTTCTCGTGCGATCTGACGCAGTTGATAATCGCGATTTTCATCGGTTGTTCATGATAATAAACGTTGATGAGCACCGTGAAAAGCCCCTCTTTGTGCGATATAATTGCGCTTAGTATATCATCGTGATGAACGACGCTGGTTTCTCATTGAATATCCGAACGCGTTATTATTATCACGTCGCTGCATATGATGCGCCTAAGAGCTTTTATGAAAATTAAGAATCTATCTCAATTTTCTTTTTCGATTTGCTTGTACTCTCTGGGTAAATGCAACCGAACGTCAAGTGCGAAATGGGAAGAAATTTTTTCTCGATACATTTTATATCTGATATCTGCAAGGAATTTCGTTAACTTGTAGATGCCTTTGATAAAACTTACAAATAAATTAAACTAATAGAAATTAATTTAAACTCATTTAAGTACAATTAAATAGATAGATACGCGGAACAGAAATTAATAGGAATTAATTTAAAAAATATGTTAAAGGATGAAATTTAAACCACTACCTTGAATAAAATATTTTTGTTATTTTCAACTACCATGTGTGTCAAAATTTGTTATTTAACACAAAATAGTATTATTTTAACTCCATCGGCTTAATTAAATTAATGACATATTTTGAGTAGAAGCAGTGACGACCTATATGGTTAAAAAATGATTCAAATTGAATATAATTTTACACCATTGGTTAAAATTTTACACCACGAATTAAACAATGCATTTAAATATAATTATATAGATAAATACGTCGAACACAGAAAAGTCTAAAAACAATCTCTAATTTTGAGACTAAAAAGCTCGTATTTTCGTGAAATAATTTCTTATCGGTTTTTTTTAAATTTAGCTTTTTGCAATTTACGTACGTTGAGTAGATCTCGAAATGGTCGCGTAATGTTCCGATCAAGGTTAGAGATTGATTTACCGTTGATTTACCCCGAAAATCTGTGGCGACACGGTTCATTTGACATATTCACGCGACCACAGAGGTGTTTTACATCACCACATGTTGTAATTTAGAAACAGCTATTTTCGTGATATAACATTCAATGTCTACTCGCGATCAAAACAATTCCGGCGGAACATTGTGTTCCGAGATTGAAATAAATGCTCATAAATTTTAAAGAAGACGTCCTAACCTTTTGCTTCTTACTCTCCTTGTTACTTTTTATTGTTTTTTAATGCAGATTATTGGGTTTGTCATAAAATTTTTGTAATCTAGTTTTACTTTTAATTAATCTTTCCTTTTTCTTTGTTAAAGACTCTCTCTCTCTTTCTCTCTCTCTCTCTCTCTCTCTCTCTCTCTCTCTCTCTCTCTACCATACGCGGTATCGATTTTAATTATTTTGTTTTTTAATTATGGAGCTCCGTGATAACTTTAGTAATTATTTGTAATAATACAGCGAATCTCATAACCGCGTAGAATTAGTTCGGATATTGATTATTTAAATTGAGAGATAGCTTGATGGTGTCATCTTAATATATTGTTTTATTATTATTTAAATGAGCGATATATAGATTTAATTTCTATTTATTTATTTTAACTCTTCCGAAATGTTTTAGATATATTTCTGATAATTTTTCTTCGTGAATTAATTTTTTACGCGACTCGTTTACATTTTTTTTTTATATAAAAAAGATGTCTCTTTCGGTTAATTATTTTCTTGTGTTTACGATCATTGAAATTAGAGGACCGATGAAAAATTCGCAGAGATAATTGAACGAGCGTTTGCTTTAAATGAGTTTACTCGTCGATAGTCCGCAAGTGTACTCACGGTGAGCAAATAGACCAGCCATAATTACACGTAGAACGCAAACTCGCTGCGTTCATGCATCAATTCGGTTCTCTTCCTCAATGATCCCTATGCGGTTAACATATTATTTTTTACTCGGCCTATTTTCATAAGGCTAAAAATGGCAGATTTCCTTGAAGAGAAAGTAAAAATAGAATAGAAAGTAAAAATAGAATAAGAAATAATAATGGAAGGAGAAATAAATAAGGAAAGATGAAATAAAGAACGGAGATCAAGCAGAATGAAAAGATTACAGAGAGGGATAAGAAATAAGTGAATTAAAGGAAGATCGAATGGAGGGTGTGAATGAAGAAGATTCAAAGAATTAGAGAAGGCGGATTGCAAATTTATAAAATTAGAATGCAGAAATTTAGGGGGATGAAAGGAAAAGTTAACGAAGAAAATCGAACAAAGTGAGTGAATTAAGAAAAAAATAAAGATGAGGGAAAAAAGGAAACAGGGGAGATGTAGATAAAAGGAGGCTTGGCGAGGTAAGCTTCATTAAAAGGAATTGTAGAAAAAGGATCAAAGAAAAAAAAGTCAGGAAAGCGAGAAGGAGATCTAAAACGGAGGGGAGCAAGAGGCAATTAAAGAAAGAAGATCAAAAGGAAGATTAGAGCAGAATTCCAATATTATTCTGTACCCATCTAATTTAATATTTAATTCTCTCTCAACGGCTCACATTTGTGAGCGCAGGTTTTTTTAATAAACAACCTGAGGTACCCAAGCCATTAAGTGTTTGATCGGATCATTTTTAATCCACTTTAGATGATTTACAATTTATGAAAATTAAAGACAGAATTCTATTTATAATTTTATAGACTACAAATCTTGCGAGTGCTTTGCATATTTTGTAAAGTACTTACTTAAAATTATAAATAAAAGTAGTAAAAACTATATTGTACATACCTATATTACAAATTTCTGAGGTTCGTAATTTTCTTTTTTCTTATCTCGTAATCGGTGATATTATTCTTGTGTTATAGTTCTCGTGAAAAATATAGAACTTTTATTTACGGCACTTATATCACTGAGCACCCGACTGTATATGAGTAGCTAAGTTATTAACACAAGTGATATACTCACTTGGCGGATACTCGATGTAATTGACGGTGGTGTAAGCGGCGAAGGGTAGGGCAAAGATGAGAGCTAGCAGCCAGGCACCCAAGATAAATCGTACAGGTCGTTTCAGTCCGCTCATCGAGTACAAATGCAGGGGGTGGCATATAGCTAGGTACCTCTCCAACGAGAACACCACTATCGTTAAGACTGACACGTAAGATGACCTTAAAAAGCACACATAATTTTATAGTGTCGTTACACGGACACCTATTCACACGAACAAAATTAGTATTATTAAGAAACATGTTGTTTTAACATCGGACTTTAAATATATTCTTTAATATATAGCTCTACTCTTCTCACTTTTATCTAAATTTTTGGATATTTCACAATTTTCTTATAATTAAAACATTTCTTAATTTAAATTTTAAAATGTATAATTAAATTTTTAATTAAATTTTAAAACGCATAATTAAAAAACTTGAAACTATAGTCTTGAACGCAAATCGTAAGATATTTCTAAATTTTATTGGTACATATTTATGCAGTTTCTTCTAGTAAAAATATATCTGCAACAAGAGAGATGTGTAACGAGCTTCCTATTTAAGAGGGAAGATTATTTCAAAACAGTTTATGTTTTGTATGTACATAAATGTTGCAAGATCTTATTAGTTTCTTATTGTTCATGTATTTCTTAAGGTTATTGCATGGGAGATCTCATACGCAATCTAAATGCAGAATAAACATGTTTCGGGCAACTATACGTACTTACTTAATACCTTTAATTAAGACTCCGTGTAGTGAGCTAATTTATTGTACAGTTATATACTTTGTGCATCCTCCTCTTACATCCTCTTTATTTTTAAGCTCAATTATCTGACATTTATTTTGGAATACAATTTATTTTGTAGAAAAGTTAGCAAAATTTATCTACGCACTTGTTGCTTAGTTTTATCAAAATATTTTTTTTCTTTGCTGTTCTTCTTATTATAATAAAGTATAAATTATCAGCTGCATTGCGTTAGAAATTCCAATATAGAGTTTGCAATTAAGCTGTTAAGTTTGCCTCTCTGTTCTTATTTTTTCTTTCGTTAGTTTTTTATTGTTTGAAACTTACGTTTCTGAAACGTACGCTCGTATTTTGCATAGACCCACTCCAAATGTCCACGGATATTGTTGCCAAAACACGCTTAACTCATTGGGCAGTCCTGAAAGCAAAGAAAATATTGTCGATTATTGTATCATATGTATATGTGAGTCCGCAAATATGAATTGGAAAAAAAGATTCGCATTGAAAAAGGGATTGTGTGATGTATACGTGTATTACGTTGTGATTATAATTATCTGTTATTCTCATACCACTATTTTGCAAGGCGATACTTAAAAAAAAAGTCCAAATTATTTCTCGCAAAAATCTATAAACGTTACTTTATACACTTTTTTCTGGGATTATTAATTACCTTTATTGATATACAAGGAACGTGAAACGTCCGCAATTTGTAAATAGAAAAGTATCAAGCGACATAAAAGCAAATCTTCAGCGTAATATTAGATTCTTTGTTAAAAGCTAGCACAGGTATAATTGTACGAATCGTAACGAACACGCGTAAACGAAAAGACACAGAAACAGGGCGAATCAGAGATTCAATTGTCATATAATTTATGCAGAGAGTCTCTCGCGACCAATCACTAATTACAAAGCAGCGAGTACAACTCGCGTTACAATTTGCGCTCCGATGAATTTTCTATAAATCAATTTTCGCTGTTAAAATTTAGAGTTCGACACTTTACTTTCTTTATATAAGTATAAAAGAAACTTTCGAAACTTTCTTTTCGGGAGTTCTCTAATAAATAAATATATTTTATAGCAGATGTATAATGATCATTGCGTGCATAATTTAAAGTCGAGCATTGGCACAAACATTATTTTTAGTTATAATAAAAAACTAATTAAAAAAGTGATATTCCACATGACAGAAAAAAGCCTTAAGCTACATTATTTTTTCTCTTGCGTGATAACAACTGAACGAGATTCTGCATGGTATTAATTGTGTTTACTAGGTGGTGATGCCGCAACTGCCTGTCACCGCAAATTACTTCATGACTCGCTACGCGTTATTTATTTCCCGCGCGAGACGCATATGCTAAATTCTTCTTATATTTTTTTTTACAAAGAAAAAGAAGTCAGTTTGCCAACCATGGAACGTAGTACTGATTCGCATCGTTTGTTATATCCGGTTGTTGCACATGCAAAATACGTTGGATTTAAAATAAAAGTAAATATTTTCTCTCGCATTGTTTTTGTTTCCCTTACATTATGTTAAAATGTAACAATTCTTTCACACACACTTCGCAAAAATATGCTCCAATTTTTGCGAAATGTTTGTAACTTGCAAGTTACAGTAAATAATGCTATTTTATTATTTTATTGTCTATATAGTATAATGTCATGGAATTAGTCGAAAATATAAATCTTAATTAAGGGTGTTACAGGACTCTGACAGGAGTAAAAATTAGGAAAAATTGGGGAATCGTAAAAAGCTCGTACTTCTGTTAATTTACAACTTTTTATGAACTCCTCGAATTTTTTCTAATTTTTATTTCTGTCAGTCTTGTAACCTCTTAAGGAAGAAAAGAAAATACGATGTGATAAAAGTGAATCCTTGTCTTATGAAGAAGATGAGGATCTATTAAAGTTGGCGTTTTATACTTTTAGATCTTTACTTCTTACAATTTAGTTAATCGGTAAAATTTTGTCGAAACAATTTTAGAAACTAATTCTTTATTAATAAGTATAAGATTATAATTCTTTATTATTTTCTATAAAAAAGCATTAACGTGTAATTATTAGAAAATGAATATTGCATACGATATTTTATATGTATATGTTACAGTAAAGTTTGAAATATATATATTGTAAAATGTCAATTTTCGATTATTTCAGGATCTAAATATTTTTGCAAAGTATAACAAAGAGAATCGATTTATATAAAAATACATGGTTCTATTAAAAAAAGACGAGAAATCTTTATGGCAGATAGTATTCCGTTTATTCTATAAAAGGTACAGATAAATTTTACAACGTCAAAAAAGAATTTATTGTATATGTATTTTTAATAGTCCCCGAAAAAGACAGCCTATGACACTTGTATTCTGTTCCTCTGGAGATCACGTCAGACAAGTGTTGATATAAAACCAACATTCCTGTACAACGATCTGATATGACAAATTAATATATATGGCAAAAAGATTATCGCAGACGATAATCTGCCGCTTATTTGACAAGCTTCGCCTTTATGGCGAAAAAATAAATCTTTGCGCTGATCATACGAGAGGGAACTGACAATATCATGAAGTAATACCTATTTAATATGCACACCGCCTGACGCTGATAGCTCCACTTTTTATTCGTTTTGCGCGTTGATATTCACGTTTTCGATATGCTATTTACGGATTCCGAAGATATGTAAAACATGTTATTATGAATAATGCAAGAGACAGCGTAAAGGCGACGTTTTATTTAACGATTTATCCCAATACTTGGTATCGGGTATCACTAAAACGCATCTGGCGTCGTAAAATTACACAATTCAATGGTGAAAGTTTTAGCTTTTCGTGGCGGCATTAATGCCGTGTCACTAAAACTTTGGACAAATCCCAATATATTCACGTATATATTTCGTATTTGGATTATGGGATTTGGATAATGTATATTGGGATTTGTCCAAAAAGTTTCCAATACACATATATCAATATTCGCGCCGCAATTTTCACAATTGATGATCTTCATCCAGAATATTACGAAAGATTTTTATCTTTTGTTAAATGTATTTTTCTCAATATAGTGTTAGATTGTATAAAGCAAATTACACAAATCACAATGTCAAAGATTCTGCAATTATATTCTAGAATATCGGAAACTTTTTTAAATTTAAAATTCTAGAAATTTTTAGTTCAATAATATCGTGCTAAAAGTATTACTTTTAACTTAATAAATTAAAAAAATACAAATCTTCAAATTATTTTGAAGCCTTCTTCTGCATTCCGATATATTTACCATGCATTTCCGGTATATTTACTTGCGCACCGCTCGTCTTTATTTTTCATTAAGGATTTTGCATTTAGTTTACCTTGCTCCACTTTATACCTTTACTTTATACGTGTACTTTAGCTAGGAATTGTATTAAATTCATCGCCGCCGAGAAATAAAGCACAACAACGCGCGGATAAAAAACTTAATAAAGCAGCATTGATGCATATTGTTTACGGGGGGCGTTGGTTTTATCGGGTTTCGTTCAATCACTTTGGATATACTTGTGCGCGCAATCGAACGCCGATGCGAAGTTGTAAATCGTAATTAATCGAAGGCCCGGCGGAATTGCATTAGCCACACCGCACGGAGGAGTCGCCCATTTTATCCGACTTCGGAGATCGACAAAATCCATTAACTCGCAGTTAATATCGAGTACGTGACGAATCCTCAAATCACGTGATAGAACGTGTTCTCGCATAGACATTGGCTTTCACTAGGCTCAATGACGGGCCCTTATTAGCCCATCATTATAATGACGATATCGGAAGATTCGTGTTTGAGAAGTTTAAAGTTCACAATTGAGAGCGCGCAAGGCTCAGTTATATGAACAACATAACTCTCCACATAAACTTGAAACTTTTCAGGTGAATTTGAAACTTTTCATGTAAATCTAATAAAAACTCGTTGCTCGTCAATTCCTCTTTGCAGTCTTTTTATTGCTTTGGAGAAATGTTGAGAAAGAAACGATAAAATCTGTAGACTCATTCATTGTGCTTGTGCGTTTCCGTACGGTCAAGATAAATATCTTTTTTTTCACCGTTTAATTAAATTTCCAATTAATTTCTTTAATCCTAAGTATTCTTTTATTACGTAAGATGCAATATAATGTTATAGAGATCCGCGCGAAATCGACGTTTCGCCGTAAAATTGAAGTTTTTGTTCTGAGGGGGAGGGGGGAGTCGCTTATTAAGATACGAAGTTCTCGTATTTTCCTGACAATCTGATATGTGATCAATGAAAGAGAACGTTGAAACGCAATATATACGGCGTAATACGTATATATCCGGATTCTACACGAAGATCCTTTTAGCCAGAGATATCGAAACGCAGAGTTCTTCTGGTTCTTAAAAGTTAAGAGCTGCTGAAAATAAAATTGATTTTTATGAACAAAGCTTTAGTAAATCAACTGGAAAGTATTATATCTCTTGTCAGGAAAGCATACGCGGATAATCTGAGACATCCTGTAAGTTCAGACATCAGTCTTTACCTATAGAGTCACGTCGTGAGAAACGGATTATCGCTAGACCATGTATATAGGTATTCGGAACACATATGGGTCTGTACAGGCGAGCTTCTTGCATTCAGATGAGAAACGATATTTTCCAAGACGTTATTTTTCATTTGCCGCCTTTCCTCGCTGCGAAAAGCGACTTTTGCGGTACTAGTTTCCGAGGTGCACTGATCTACGCGGATTGTAAGCATGACCAGATTCTTAATCATTGCGATATAGCGCGAGCTTATCTGAAGATGTCACTCTAACTCCGCAATCACCGAAGAATTATTAAAAGAATTTCGCAACTTTATTCATTAAGCAAATTGTGAGGATTATAAACTGCAGTATTCTTGTGCGCTCAATATAAAATTTTAATTATTCTGCTACATCATATGTGTATGAGTTTTTTCTACGCTTCCAAGAGAAAAGATATTTTAAGGAGAAAAATACACCGAGAAAAAAATTTTCTGCATTCTAAGTAAATATTAGTTTGCGTACAGCTGTGGCTCCATTTACTAAAATGAAGAAAAATTTTTCTTTTTATTCGTACATGTGTATTCACTGAGAAAAAATATACTAATAAAAAAGAAAATTGTTTTTATTTTAGTTAATTTTAGTAAATGGAGTCACAGTATGCAAACTAATATTTGCAAAAATACAAAAAAATTTTTTTTTATTATAGTGTATGGAGTTTTATCTCTCTAAATCTGAATCAGTGAAATTCGCTGATTTAGATTTAAAGAGTGCCAGTCAAAAAAAAATTTATCTTATTACAACTGCAAAAAATGTTAAAATAATCTTCTGCTCGATTTTCACTCGATTCGGGATATCTATATTGCGTGAAAATGTTCACTAGCTTTAAGCTCTCATTTCCGAAATTTGTAAAGTACGAAATCAAGTGGCATATCAAATAAGGCCAAACAGTTACGAGATATGCCGATTGCAGTAAGGGCGGACAGTGTTTGAAACTTCGAGTAGTCGCTATCTATCGGGATGGAATACTCGGCGGTTGGAAAGAATGGAAAAAAACGAAGGACGCGCTGCATTCGAGCTCAATATCCGTTGCGTGACTAACGTGACTTTAATTTCAAAGTTTGTGATTATTTCTGCGAGTATTTTATCGTATTTTATTGCCGACGGACGGGACGTTACGCCATTGTTAATTACGAGGCGAAAATATCGACGTTGATTGTACGTCAAAAAAAGAATCGTTCGATATGACTATTTTTAAGCCTCGGGAAGTCGACAATAATATTATTCATTGCACTGGAATATTCATTAAGCGACGAGCTCGCATGTTCGTTTATCTTCGTCTTAGTTATAATTTATAATTAATCTTTTAAATCTGATTGGTAGAATCTCCGCTCATTGTTAATCCCTAAAGAATATTTGTAACTCCAGAATTTATCAAATGAAATCTCGCTGGAATTGTCGTTTGTCGCGTATTCAAAAATTGGATTTGCGGGAGGGAAATAAAATCGGCCAAACAGTATTTTCGTGTGCATCCATGTAGCGTGAAATAATGGTTCCGCAATATGTGGATGTCCGATCGTTAATCACTTTTATATAGCTGACATAGGATCCGTTTATTGGAAAGTACTATATGTCCGAGTTCATGAAGCATCAAAAGTATCGGATCACGTTGCAAAGGGAACAGAAACATTACACTATCAATATATAGCGATCAGAAACCGGAGAAAATAATTTGATGCTATTATTTCTACGTAATCAGTCTGCGTTGAGTACAAATTGTTCTATAATATCAGAAGATGTTTTTCACATCACTTTTGTATTATATTTTTACATTATCTTTATAAAGATGAGGCTTTCTTTTTTTAGTACAAATTGTTTTATAATATCAGAAGATGTTTTTCACATTATTTTTGTATCATATTTTTACATTATCTTTATAAAGATGAGGCTTCCATTTTTTATTCTAAACAAATATTAATACGATGGCACGACACAGGCATTTAGTTAAGTAGTCGGATAAAACGGAAATAGAGAACAAAGCGTCGTTTTGTACACAGCATTTAAAGCGAGAATGTTCTCGCATTCGCGTTGATTTCAAAGTTCAATGATTGTGGTGATGAAAATGATATTTTCTCTAATGAATATTTACTTTATATTTATGAGGGGGATTATGATTATTTATTCATCAAGGATCGATACCGTGCAAATCAATATTCGGATTGTTTATTAATTACTGGCAGATGACGCTCGTAATTCTGACAGATAAACTGTTCAAGACAGCGCGCGTTGGGAAAATATCAGAGGGAAAAAACGGAGGGGTTTCGAAAATTGCGAGCGCAATTTATTCACCGAGTGAAGGAAGAGCTGTCGATTAACGTCGACGTCTGGGATCGTCTGTCGTATGCATTCTTCTCTTTAATACACGCGAGGGAAATATTCCTTTTGCGAGAGATTTCTACGAAGAGATAATAAAGAAATACGATCATTGGTCCCCTAATGGCAATCGTTTAACGCGATAAATTCCTGCAGTTTGCCACGTTCATCGTCGGAATGCGAGTGCAGACAGATAGTCTGCTCGCTCGAGGAAAGAATATTGAATCCGAAAAAAAAATTATATATATATATATATATATGACACCGGAAAGGGAAGTTAACGAAATCGAAATGAAGGAAACATCATGAAACCAAATATATCACGTTTAAACTTTTAAAAATTACCATAGAATTTAAAAAAAATCGGATTATATTCGATTTAAATTAGTGTATTTTGTAATTATAATGTATGTAATGTATTTTATTAGTGTATACCTCTATTAATCGATGCAAAAATATTGAAGATAAAAGGCGACGCGTTAAAATTTTACGCTGATTCGCGATACAATGATGAAAATATCGAAATTAATCCTTGGCACATAACCCTCAATCGTGTAATTAACACGTATAATGAATAGGACACAGTGCTGTGTATACCTTCATTATCGCATATGTGGTGAGATTCATTACGATGATTATCGCCTGCGCGAAGAGACAATACAATAGTTAGGTTACAGTAACTTTGTTTCAGAGAGCAGCGACATATGTGCCTATTCTTCAGCCGCCCCAAGGTGCGACGTTTTGATCGCGACAATATCAATAGCTGATTAAATCAATCGTCGCCGGCTAAAGCGCACTCATTACGCGCATAATAATCTCGATCAAAAGCGCGTATATAATAATCTCGATCAAACGATAAACAAAAGCTTGCGATTCTAAATTTTCAACGGGTCGCGGTATAAAGTAAAAAGTAAACCATTATGGTCATTAACAATTTACGTACACGTACGCGTTTTCCTCTGCACTTTATTGTTAGCCGTTATTGCGAAAGCCCGTAATATAAATACTTAATACGATTACTGCTAATTGGATGGGCAAATAATTATTACGCTCTGGTGTGAAGCTTATAGCCAACTAATTAGGAAATGGCTGTAGAATGCGATTAATAAAACGTAAAGCCGAATTACTAACGCCACACACAACTTCTGCAGCGAAAACTTCAGCGGGCGCGGAACAGACGCAATAGGAAAACTCAGATAGGAAATCTTTAGAGCTTAGACTGGTTTATAACTGCATATCGGATCGAAATACCAAGCGAGTCACACTTCCGCCGATATTATTCTAGCTGTGCGCACGGTGTCAAGTAGAACGAGACGAGATAAATCAGACGCAGGGCGAAGTGGTGATCTTCCGACGAATCGAGCGCACCGAACAACTTAGAACTATGCCGGGGGGAGAAAATTTTCAAGCAGAGAGAGAAATCTTTGTAACCCGAGAAAATAACTCGTACTAAAATTTAACTGATTACAAGATGCACTAATTTCAGGGAAGAAAGCAATTTTCCGAAAGCAGATTTTAAAATCTGAGTAAATAACTTACACAAATTTACGCACTGTAAATAGCAGTAAAAAGTAAGAGAATGTGCTATAAATAATTAAAATTTTATTTTCTGTATAATTTAACTACCCAAACAAATAACTTGTATTATTTTGTCGATTTTAAACAAAAAAGAGATTTTTTTTATATCTTATAATTTATATAAATAACTCGTATCGTATTAATTAACTCATAATATAATTTATGTAATGTGTACTGTATTAGTTAACTCATATTATGCAATTTAATAATTTATTGCGGTTAGAAAATTAAGTCAGAGAACATGATAGTGTGTTCTGAGGAAAATGTGTGAGAAATATTTTTATAACTCGGTAATTATTTGCTAAACCTTAAGTGACATTCACTCTTTATTAACAAAATTAATATTGTACAATTTTCACTTTAATAACAAATTAATAAACGGCGAATACGAGTTAGGCGCGGTACGTACGTGGTGCGTAAATAAAGAAATTAATAGTCACAGAAGTAACGAATTATAATGTATATAATATACATATATATTCCAACATAATAAAAAGTAAAATTTCACTTTAATGTTTCACACATTCCAGAATGCGTTAAAATTTTAATTATACAATTATAACTTTTAAATGAAACATGACTGAAACTTTAAATATTTTAACTCGTATGTTGAAAATATAAAAATAAAATAAATTTTATTGTGATACTATAATTTTATAAGCGATATAAAAATTTATTAAATCCATCTTTTAATTCGAAATTGATTTCCGAAACCTAGCAATAATTTATTGAACAGTTATATTGACGTTATAAATAGATTCATTGTGTAACAAATATCACATTTATATATTTATATATTTTCCCAAATTATGAAATATTACATTTATATATTTATACATTTTCCCAAATTTATGAATTAAAATAATTAAATAATAAGATATAGTGCATAATATGCGTATTATCACAGTCCGTAGAAGCATAAAGAATGGGAGAATCTCAGGAATTGCGTTCTTTGATTTAGAATTGGAGTTGAAATTTGCAGTTGAAAAGAGAAGATAATTGACAGGAAGCCTTGGACTCACCGAGAATCAAGAGAAGCAGGTCGGATATCGCTAGATTGAACAGATAGTAATTGGTGGCGGTTTGCATGACGGGATTTCGCCTGATGACGATGCAGGTGACCACGTTGCCGAACACGCCGGTGACGAAGATCGCGACGTAGACGAAGGTGATCGGCAACACAAGCTTCAACGGCAGGTGTTTCGGTCCCAAGATCGACTGCAAGTACTCGGACTCGTTCAGGTTCATCAGTTCCGTGATGTTGTCGATCTTCACGACATATCGGTCCGAAAATTCCATACTTTGCGCGTTTCTTCAGCCCGATCGATCGCTTTTCCCCCAGTCAGTATAGTATCACCGATCGAATAGGAATGTCCGCCCTTTCTATCCTGGATAAGGAGACTCGTTTCTTCTTCTCTTGACAGCCATGATTTCGCGCTACGTTAAAATTTCAATCAACCAATGCACAGAAACTTAACGTAGTCGATCGTTCTCTTGATTCTCAACACGTTAAATCGAACATCGCGCAAGCGAGTCGCTCGTAACTGGTTCATTGTTCAAAAATGATAGTCACTGATCGATCGATTTCGATCGCTCGGTTTCATAGATATTTTCGAGAATGGGCTCGTTTTTCTTTTTCGAAGGGATAATAGTCACGATACGCGCGAAAAATATGTATAACGGGGTGAAAAGTGCTCCACTCGACAGACCGTGAACAAGTGACGACCGTGGAGCGCTCCGGTCTTCGCTATCGGACCACGCGCCCATCCACCACGCATCCAACCCTTAACTTCAACCCCCTCGAGAGAGCACGCTGCGCCACCCGTCCAATAGAATCCCGCTGATCGCCGCGTGCAAAATATTCCAGATATTCGACGCATATTGTACTAAACGATGTAGCGATATCTTGAAGGCGATGATCGGGTTAGGTGATATCGAAAGATTTAGTTTAATCACACGGTCGATTTATCCGAAGGATTTTATATACGGTGCTCTGTTACTGTCAGTAAAATCGAGAAGTAGTTCTATAAGTTGAAAATGTGCAATGAAATTTCTGTACATAAAACTTTATTTATCGGAAAATTAAATCGGAAAATCGAGGCGTTAGCGATATTCATTTAACACGTTAAATAGAACGATTATATTAATTCTTACGAACTTTCCTGGAAATCCTATTTGAAGTCGCGTTGAACGTTCTTTAGAGCTTGTCACGCGATGTTTGTGCGAGCAAAAATGATTTGAGACTGCCAAATGGATTTTAGAAAAGGAAAATTCCGTCTCAACTCAACGTGGATTTCTTTTTAGTCCATATTTGGCATAAAATTCACTGAATTTCTGATTTAATATATCTCCGCGTTTCCTCAAAGATATTAAAGACAGTTTGATCGTGTCACCTCGTCGCTCGCAGATCTTACGTATTTATTAATTCTATTTATTATACACACTTAAAGCTCATGGTTTGATTCTTAGTAGCAGCAATAAATTATTTCGTTTATTATCTCGGAGAAAAGATGTAATAATTGATAATACTTTCTATTCCACATAAGAAAGAAAAAGAGAGTGAAAGGTTTTAATAATGCGGGGTATAATTTTATATCATATATATAATTCTTTTAATTGGCAGCGATTGTGGCAAAATGTGTGGTCAATGTAATCGAATTGGCTCTATTGTTCCATAAACATTTCTCATTTTGTACAGCAAACTTCTGCTTTCCCTGTTGCTTCGCTTTATTTACACATTGTTTAAAACCGCTCCGCTGCACGTTTCGTTCATTTGTCATGTTATTCATTTCACCGTGTTGTTTTTCACCTGTATTATTGCCTTTATTTTAACGCGTGAAAACAACTTGCCATATACGTGTGTGTGTGTTACTACATATATATTATTACTGGTTTACTTTTCTACCTGTAAAAATTATATTCGCAATTTCGATACGGTTTAAGGTATAATTTATCAAGTATTACTCGCACGAATTCTGTAATCGTATATTACGTTGCGCGGCGTTCATTATCAAAGTGATTTCGCAGATAATGGACGTTTTAAGTTTCAACAACATTGCAAGTCCAAAAGTATTATTTTAGCTGAAGCCCTTTTTACATTCTTACATTTCTTTTCGTTAAGGTAAATGTACCAATGCCTGTGGATAGTCAGTGGACACGTACCTAGTCTGGATACCTTTATCATATTAGTCTTTAAATAAGTATAGCGAATTAACGTCTGAACATTATAATTAAAGTTTCAAAATACAAGAAAAATATTTTTAT